TCGCCCAGCCTGGTTTTAAGTGCTCTTTTTTACTGGTAATACTTCATGCTATTAGTACACTACTAATATATTTATTTCAATAACTGTTTTAGAATGCGACTACTGATGGAATAGAACTTAATGAAAGAACAGGAACATTTTCAATGTGCTTTCAAAAAAGACAATATAACATATTGTTTAAATATATGAGCTTTGCCAGGTCCTGGGTTCAAATTCTTCCTTAGATAATGTAAATCATTTAGCACAATGTCTGAAGCAAAACAAGCACGCAGTAAATGATAGCTATGATTATCATCATATTTGATCTATTTCAGAGCTGTTCCAGCTATCACAATATTACCAACTCGTTGGGTCTATGAAAATGTATGTTCCATATTTTAGTTTCACTGTCAACTTTCCATCAGACACCTGATGGATGTGATGATTTTGTTTACCTCTAATTCACTTCACTACTATCTTAGCCAATGCTAAACTCCATTGCCCTGAATTTCAAACATAGGAGGGTAAGAAAATGTCTCTCCTCTTTGGCAAAGTGTGTGAAAGTTGCCGAAAATCTATTTGTTCTGATGCCCCAGTGTGTTTGCTACTGGGGCAGTAACACCAATAGCACTAATGTGCTTTTCCTCACAGCAGGTGTTACCTGGAGTTGAGGGATATGAGAACCAAGAGACACTGCCCTCCATCTCCACCTTTGCCAGTGAATGTTTGTGATAGCTTGTTGCTGGAGAAACACTACGTGCTGTAGACAGGTTTTCATTTGAGATGTCAAAACTGAAAAATTCATACTTTCCTTTTGAGCTCACCAGGTAGCAGACTTTCCACAGGACAGATTAAATGAAACAATTGTGAAAGACTCTTGAAAAGTATTCTTATTCATTTATTACTATTTTTAAAACTTCTGCTCTGTGTGCTGGAAAGGTATCTATAAATGAACTCTTTAAAAAATATCCCATTGAGGCCGGGCGCGGTGGCTCACGCCTGTAATCCCAGGACTTTGAAAGGCCGAGGCGGGTGGATCACGAGGTCAAGAGATCAAGACCATCCTGGCCAACATGGTGAAACCCCGTCTCCACTAAAAATACAAAAAATTAGCTGGGCACGGGGGTGTGTGCCTGTAATCCCAGCTACTCAGGAGGCTGAGGCAGGAGAATTGCCTGAACCGAGGAGGCGGAGGTTGCGGTGAGCCGAGATCATGCCATTGCACTCCAGCCCGGGTAACAAGAGCGAAACTCCATCTCAAAAAAAAAAAAAAAAAAAATCCCCTTGAAAGTATCATTTAGCACTTAAAAACTACAGAGGCAAAGAATAATTGCAGTGAAATTGTTATCTGACTGTATTTCTTTAACCTTTGATTTTCATTCATCTGGACATTTTTTACTGAGCAACTCCCATGTGCCAAACATTATGCTAGAAATAACAGATGGCTTTGGAGACAGGACTGTATGAAATGGATGCTTTATTTCCCCCCAAATCTCATGTTGAAATGTGATATTTAATGCTGGAGATGGGTCTGGCGGGAGGTGTTTTGGTCATGGGGGTGGCTCCCTCATGAATGGCTTCATGCTACCTTGGTGGTAATGAGTTCTCACTCTGAGTTCACACAAGAGCTGGTGTTTAAAACAGCATGACACCTCCTCCCTCCCTTTCCATGTGACATGCTGGCTTCCCCTTTGCCTTCTGCCACGATGGGAAGCTTTCTGAGGCCTGACAAGAAGCCAAGCAGACGCTGGTGCCATGCTTAATATATAGCCTGCAGAACTGTAAAGAATCTCTTTTCTTTTTAAGTTACCCAGTCCCGGTATTCCTTTATAGCAACACAAACAGACACACTGATGAGAAACACATGAAAAGGAATCTATCTCTGTATGAAACATATGCTGACATGGTTTGGGTCTGTGTCCCCACCCAACTCTCATGTCAAATTGTAATTCTCCCTGTTGGAAGAGGGGCTCACCGGGAGGTGACTGGATCATGGGGGCAGACTTCCCTTTGTTGTTCTTATAACTGAGTTCTTATGAGATCTGGTTTGAGAGTGTGTAGCACGTCCCACTTTGCTTTTGCTCTGATTGTAAGTTTCCTGAGGCCTTTCAAAAAGCAGAATCCTGTGCAGCCTGCATTACTGTGAGCCAACTAAACAACCTCTTTTCTTTATAAATTACCCAGTCTCAGGTATATCTTTATAGCAGTGTGAGAATGGACTAATACATATGCTAAAATGCCAATGACAGTTACAATCACTGAAAAAAAATTCCACAATATTGAGCTGTAGCCCTGTGAAACTGCCTTTGCAAAGATTATGACAGTGAGAGAAATCTAACATGGCTGACTCTATCTTTCTTCTAGCCTCACAGGCTGGCTTCTTCACTTAATCCAATGAAGCAAATTTGTGACTTCCTCGGTTGTTGCTATAGGTAGCATCTCTATTATAGAACCTAAGGTTGGTCTTTTGATACATTTTACTGATTTTTGCATTCTGGCAACTGACTGACTTCACCTGGACCCATGACTGATGACTTAAGCAGTCCTGTGGTCTCCCACTCAGAGGTGGACTCAATGCATGAGGACTGTTTTCACACCCCTGATTGCATCTCCAACCAATCAGCAGTACCCATTCCCCAGTCCCATGCCTACCAAACCATCCTTGAGAAATCCTACCCTCTGAGCCATGTGGCTAGCCTAACATTAATTAAATGCTGTCTTTACTGCAAATCTCAGTGAATTGGTTTTGTCTGGTCAGCAGGCAGGAAGAACCCATCAGGTGGTTGCACTTGTGAAAGGGCACACACAAATGTCATCAGGGTTACAGTTTTCAGGAAATATGTCAAAGTATACCATCTAAGCAAATGTAACAGATGTTGACCTAAAGAAAGAAACTGAAGCAAACTTAATTTAAGTAGAGTTTACTTGGGTCCGTTTTGAGAATTGTAACCCAGGGGCATGGATTCAAGTTTGCCCTAAATATATGCTCCAATTAACGCAGTTACAAGTGAGTATTTAAAGAAAAAAAGAGGCAATTCCTAAATTGTTTACCAAGAAGTTACATCAAAATAACAAGCTATTGATTGGCTTGTTCTTTTGAACAAATATACATTGTTCTTTTCATCACAAACTCCAAACATGTAAGGATAGTGAGGCAGCTAATCAGGAATGAAAGGCCTTTAAACAACTGACCCCAGGCATGTGGGAGGTGGGTGGTAAGACTATAGCCTCACACACACATCTGTCTGGGCCTGATAAATTCTACATGCCTCATACAGCTCAGGCTGCTCTGAGCTATTTTTCTTTTCTCATAGGATCACAGGCTGGGAAATGTTTAGGTAGTGCAGCTTCTACGAACTTTCCAGTTTCCTTAAGAGGTTGGTGTTCTCTGTAGGATAAGATCCCGTCAAGTCCCTGGAAGCCCCAAGTGGAAGCTAACAATTCTCTTCCCCCTATAACCACACCACCTTGAAATTATCTTATTTCATGTTACGCTTGCAAAGACCGGTTTTAGCAACTTGTGTATTTGGATTTGGAGTCTGGGTTCTGGGTAAAATTTCTTAATAGGCCACAGTGCCATCTAACAACATGGTGCTTGGGTTGTGGAATAACAAACTGCATTACACATCTGTAGTTGTACTGCAACTATAATACATAACAAGAATGAGACTGAGGGCGTGTGCTGTTACCTTCAATGTTGGGAAAGTCTGACCACACGACCGATGGATCCTAAGGATATGGCTCTTGGCTGGACCTTGAAATAAAGGCCAAATATTGACAAGAGAGCACCAAAGGGGGAGGCAACGCATCTGCCCTGTTCTCCAACTTACTCTAATGCCTGACAAAGAGTAAGTGCATCTTTGAAATCTGTCAACCTTGAGCTGGGGAAATCTATTCCAGTGCCAATAAAGTGTGCTGTTGAGTAAAACTGCAGAGATAGCTTATGAACAAGTACCCAAAGGACCCACAGATTGACCATCTTGCTTCTGTTTGGACTGTAATATAAGTGGGTAACTCTCCAAAACAGACAGTGACATTGTGTCAAGACATAGAATAAAACAGAGAATCCAAAATTGTAGGTATCATCAGATTTTCTAAACTGTGAAAATTTGAACAAGATCCATTCATTGGAATGAGACAATTTCAGTCTCATTTAAAATCCTTTGAAGTTTGTAGTAAGTTACAAACTTTCACTTCTGAGATCCCTGTTTTATTTCCTTTATGTCACAGCCAGCACCATGCCATCTAAGTATATGCATACATTTTTTGACACTGAAAAATATCTGAATATTGTGGGGCAAAACTATGAGACACTGTAAAACGTGTATTTCCTATATGTTTCTTACACTGTTTTGTATCTCTACTATGTGAAACTCAAAAGTATATTCCATTCTGAGTTCTGAATTTCTGACATATAATTTAAAATATGCCATTTTAATTAAAATCCTAAAATCATCCCTTGAATTGAGAATTTACAGACAAGTAAAAAGTTAAATTTAAAACAACAGCATTGGGTAGGATGAAAGAGGCTTCTTTTTTGTTCCTTCCTTTTGACATCCCATGAGTATAATGCCTCGTTCAGAGATTCTTCCGTTTCTTGTAGACTAAAGCATAGTTCACGTTATCTATGAGTTCTGGTATGGATATGATTTCTAGTAAACATTTTTTTTCTTCAATCACTATAATGGGGGATAAATACAAACATTTCAGATTAAAAGAATCCATGGAAGTTCCAAGTCTGGTTCCAGACCATTCTAAATCCTAAAGTATGTGCCGGTCATTTGTTTTTACCTGGAAGTATGATTAAATATAACTAAAATGCCAAGAGCAAGGATATAGGTCACAGATCAGAAATGTTTACTCTATGAACCTGAAATGAACTTTGTATTTTTTTGCCTTCCAACAATACAGCTGTGGTTAACAGTCAACAACCCTTGGACTCCGTTTCATGTCTGCAGAGACGCACCGTCGCCCATGACCCTGCCCATCCTCCACACAGCCACATAGGAAAGCAGCCAGGGTTCTGTATATATGTTTTATTTCAACATCCACATTTCTTACCTTAGAGACAACTCTATTCTGTATACTTTTTTTCTCTCGTACAATATTTAGACTGGCCAAAAACCAGGGAAATGTCCTTGGACTGCAGCCATTATAAAATTTTACTTAATGCTTATGAAAGCACCCTGTGATAAGCTTCAGCATGAAGTGCAATCACCACATTCAGTTTCAAAGTTCAAATGCCCATTCATATGACAAGTAGACATCCACCATAGTGCAAAGGAGGACAGTGATTGTGGGTAATGACAGAAGAAAAGTGAAGGGGGTAATGACCTTTCCCAGGGACAGGGTGGTCCCTGTTCCATACCCAGCTTGTCTCCTTAAACAGGACTGGCCAACTGGCCTAACAGTCCTTGTAGTCTACGCAGCTACTTCCCTGCTGGAACATGAGCATCTGCCTTCTTCTCCCTAAGGTTTGTCCTCTTTCTCTGATTCTTGGAAATATTTTTACATTCTGCCAGGTTCTTTGTTCTTTCATGAATGAACTGATGGAAATTTTCTATGGAGGTTACTTACCTCACTTAAGAAGTACTGACTTGAAGCATGGCAGTAAAATTCAGGATAAATTAAGGTCTTACTTTGCATTTAAAAAGCAAAGAACAGCCTTTATTGAAGAAAGTAGGATAAAGACATTTATCCCACTTTGAATGGTAAATGGGAATTTATCCTACTTTGAATGGTAAATGGTAAATGGGAATTCTCATTTACCATTCAGACTGGGGGAGTAGAGATCAGTCACATTTACCATTTTATCAGATTTAAACTGATTTAAAAAACCACAGATTTAAATTGATTAAAATGGCAAAAGGAGTCGTCTCTTTCAAGACAAGAAAAGAAAAAAAGAATACTGTGTAAAAACCACAAAAAAAAAGCTAAGTAGGAGCAGATGTGACTCTTCCTTAAGAGTCAGCATAGAATGTAGAGTTTGACATTTTCTTTAAGAATCGCTTATTATAACAAAGCAAGTAAAACTATTTGTACATAAGTTGGTCACAGTGACACTTGTAGAAAATATAGGTAGCTACAGATGGGAAAATATTAAAAATGTATCCATCCAAGGAATATTAGAAGGTCCCTTCTTTGCCTTGCTCATCTGAAAAACTCCAATTCGCCCTTCAAGTCTTAGCCCCAAGGCTGGGAAGCCACTACCTCGACAACCAAGAGGCATCCAATGTCTCTTGTGTGCTGCCTGACACCCTTCCTGTGGCTTCACGGTCACATCTATCACTCTTTAGGGATCATTCACACTTCTGCTGCCTCTTCTCCCTAAGACAGTGAAAATTGTCACTTGTTCTTTTCTGTATTCTTGATGTCCAGCAAAGGAACAGGCATCTATCCATTTAATTAAGCTCTGCTAAGATGCTTTGAGTTAAATTGTGTATGTTTGTGTGCTGGAAGAATATATAAAAATCAATGAGACACTTCTACAAGGACAGAGTAGATATCCTTCTGCTAAATGAATATAAAAATCCTGGATATTATAATAAAACACAGCAAAACTCTTAACAGTAGAGATAAAATAGACAGGCTAGGAACATTGGGGCCCAAGGAACAACACTGTGATGAGTTCCCTGCATTTTCTTTTCAGCTCAAATATTTCCAACTTGGAGCTGAAAAAGTCAGCAACCTGGAAATGTCAACAAATGCAGGGGAAAGAAAAGCCCTAAAAGAGTCCCGTGCTCTTTCTCCTGCCAAAGGACCAGAAAGGGTAGCCAAGCAAGAGTAAAGACGGCTCTACTCCAACCAAACACCATGGAAAAAACACGGCCCCACCCATACCAGGAAAGGCCGAGTGAGGAGCCTAGACCTACACTCTCACCAAGCTGTAAAGAGGTGTCCCAACTCTTTTACCACAGTGGTGCTGGAGAAACCTGTATAGGCCACTGGGAATTTCATTCCCACCTGGTGTAATAAAGCCCTTCCTGGTCACTCTTGTCCCACAGCATCCGTAGAGATTCCCAGGGTGCAGCAAATGGTGCCCCGCACATCCCTGCCAGGGAGGAATCAATAGAGGCCTAATGGGAAACTGAATTCTCACCTTGCCCAGCAGTAACAAGGGGACCCTGTCACTCCAAGTGTCAAGGGAGGCTGAGAAGGGAACCTGGACTCCAAGTCACACCTGGTAATAATGAGGCAGTGCTCCCGATTCCCCTGCTGTGGTGGTATCAGAGAAACTTGACTAAAGCAGAAGATTTACATAAGATCTACAATTTCATAACATAATACTTAAAAATATCCAGGTTTCAATCAAAGATTATTCCACACACCAAGAAACTGGCAAATCTTTCAGAAGGAAAAAAGACCATCAGCAGACGCAAACAATGAGGTGACAGATGTTGAAATTATCTGATAAGGATTTTACAGCAGCCATCATAAAAATGCCTCAACAAGCACGTACAAACACACTTGAAACAAATAAAAACATAGAAAGTCTCAACAAAGACACAGAAAGTCTCAGCAAATAGAAGATAGAAAGAAAAACCAAATGGAAATTTTAGAAATAAAACATACAATAACTAAGATATAAAAACAGGAATAAATGGGCTCAATAGCAGAACAGATTAAACAGAAGAAAGAATTAGTGAGCTTTAAGACAGAAGAACAGAAATTACCTAATCTGAACAGCAGAGAAAACAGACCAAAAAAAATATACAGAGCCTGAGGAAACTGCAGGACTAAAAAGAGAAACTTCCTAAATTATTACATAATTTTCAGTTGCAAACTGTATTTTTCAAAGGTCTTTGCAGCTGGCCTTTAGGTTGTTGAAGAATGGTCATACGAAGAACATATAAAAATCTTTGGTGTACTAATATTATACCTAAATTGGACCTAGGTAGCCTAAGAGTTAACGAAATCTTAGACGGTTCACAGGTAGGGACAAAAAGGTACAATCAAGGTAGTAATCAAGGTCATTGTGTCATTTGTCATGTCCACCAAGATGTGAGGTGATTGGTGACATGTTCTCTTTAATCTATGGAACTTCAAAATCAACCGCTCAAAAGAGAACAGCTCTGCTGCTGCTAGAGTAAGTCTTGTGCACAGAGAGAAACACTCCCACCATCTCAGTAAAAAATGGCACCTTGCATGTATTGACCGGTGCTCTGAAGTTTTGCCAAGATAAGATACAATTTTAGAAGTCTAAAGGGCCACATTTAAAGCCATTTTAAACCTGTTAATTACCAGTAAGCAAGATGGTAATATATATAATTTTAATACAGAGTAAGATTTTATAATAGGTATGTAGAGTCAAAGATCTTTGACTATAAGTTCAACTTTCCTCAAAGTTGAAGTTATTTGAATCCTTAAATCTAAAAAAATCCAATCAAAAAAATTAAAAAAGGAAAAACAAAAACCCAAGATTAATAATTTGGCTTTGGAGGGGATATACAGCAAAGATTGAAAGAGTGTCTCAGAAGTATTTTGGCTTCTGTTAATTTTTTTTTTTTTATTAAAATGAAAAGAAATGAAATTCCAAGTTAAAAGAAATCCTGACCACTTTAAAATTCTCATAAAGATAGTCACGTGACATGGGCTACCCCAATCCTACCGACAAATCTACTGTTTGCCCAATACATCAAGGTTTATTACCGACAGTAAGATTCAAATATCTGGTAACCAGACAATGTTCACAGCTACTTCTCCCTTCAGAGAAGCAAAAAGGCAGTTTTAGGTGTGGTCTGTTTTTATTCCCCCAAACTTGATCAATGTATACAATGCTTACACATTCAAATATGTGCAAGATTCAACAGGAACACTCTCTCACTGCTGTGCTGAGTAGGCAAGTTTCCCTGAGATGTCCGTATCACCGAGGGCTCCGTTCTAACTCTGGTCGATAGTTTCTGAACAATGCAATAGTGTAGATAGAGTACTGTATAAAATATAAGGTTCTCTCAAAAAGATTTATGGGGTTTGGGAATTAAAAAAATATCAGTCTTCTTGGCTAAAGGTTAGCAAATGTGTTTTCAGCTTTAAAATGTCTGAAACTGGCTCTTTTCTTTGTTGATAGAAGCTGAGTCCAGTGATGTGCTCAACATCTGTGATTCGTGCTCTGTGTAACATTAACAACTCTTCAACCCATGAGGATTCATGCTTCCCATGCTAGGAGAATAGGAAATATAAAAGAAAAGTTACCAAGAGAACACTCAGTTCACTTCTATAAGCACTCCATCTCCCCAGTTTAATCATTTATGAGATATCAGCTCTGAAGTGGAACATGCCACATGATTTGTTAGGCATTATCTCTCCTCCTGAGTAGCTGTCCTTCTAATACATACCACGCATGTCTGTTTAATTAGATGTATAAGTTTGGGGAAAAAAATATATACCTGGAACAGATGATCATGCATTACATGGGTTTAAGAAACTTCAATGGTATGGGATTAAAAAACAGTGAGAAAACAAATTACATGGCATGATAGAAAGAATATGGGAATTAATGTAAAGAATCTGGTTCTCAGAATGGCTACTATAAAAAAGTCAAAAAACAACAGATGCTGGTAAGGTTGTGGAAAAAAGGAATGCTTTTACACTGTTGGTGGAAGTGCAAATTAGTTTAACCACTATGAACTAAAGACAGTGTAGCAATTCCTCAAAGACCGAGAAGCAGGAATACCATTTGGCCCAGCAATCCCATTACCGGGAATATACCCAAAGGAATATAAATTGTTCTGTTATACAGATACATGCAAACATATGTTCAGTGCAGCACTATTCACAATAGGAAAGACATGGAATCAACTTATATGCCCATCAGTGATAGACTGGATAAAGCAAATTTGGTATATGTATACTATGGAATACTATGCAGCCATAAAAAGGAACAAGGTCATGTCCTTTGCAGTGACATGGATGAAGCTGGAGGCCATTATCCTTAGCAAATAGGAAACCAAACACTACACGTTCTCAATTATAAGAGGGAGCCGAAGGATGAGAACACATAGACACATGTTGGGGAACAACATACACTGGGGCCTGTTGGAGAGCAGGGGGTGGAGGGAGGAATATCAGAAAAAAGAGCTATTGGATGCTGGGCTTAATAACAGGGTAATGGGGAAATCTGTGCAGAGAACCACCATGGCACACATTTACCTATGCAACAAACCTGCACATCCTGCACACATATCCCTGAACTTAAAATTGGAAAATTTTTAAAAAGAGACTGGTTCTGTAACTATCAGGTAAACGAAGGCAAGTTTTTTAACATACAACTCTTGATTCCTTAATCTGTATCCTCCTCATCTGGTTGTTTTGAGGATCAAATGTAATGATGTGTGCAAATGAACTACACAAATACTAGTTCTTATGAGAATGTGTTATTGATACAGATGCATGAAGATGGGCTTGGAGGAAGCGGTAAAGCACCATTTCATTTCTGGTGAGATGGTAAAGTCTTAAATGATATGAGATCTGAAAAGAATTAAAGACTGATATTCTGGAAAATGGAAGGAAAGGTGGTCACTGAAGCAGGCAATAGAAATGGGAATCATATATCCATGTGTTAGCTTAATTTTTCCTGAAATTAGCCACTGGGGGAAAGTTAGACAAAGAATATACCCATTAGTCCACGGGCTATGATTGTACTTTAAAGGCATTCTTAAAAAGGTTCATGTAACTCTTGGGACATTACTCACTGAAAATGATAAACATAGATATTTCACATATAAAACAGACCAACAATCTCTGTTTTCCCATTAGCCTCCAACCACCCACTACCCCGTACTCACTTTCCCTCTCTGTAACAATCCTTACTCTAGCTCTAAGGGCAAACATTCCTGACTCAGTGGACTACCTGACAAGACAGTAATTGCCATCTGTTCCAACATTCACAGGAATAGATTAAAAAGTACATGCAAGGCATCTGTTCCTACTAATCCTTAGTCATTACTTTAAGAGATGAAACAGAGGAATCAATACGTTTGTACGATATACCTTAAAACAATCCCCCTCACTGGTTCAAGTTCAATATTTAGTATCTCCTAGGTACAGTGCCATTGTAGAATTTAATTAATGTTCTCATTACGGTAGTGGCATAATAGCACTGGGAATGCTGGAGTTGGGAAAGGAACTCAATGCCTAACTCACGGCACTTGACATCATTTTGCTCAATGAGATGTAAGCATAAGCCTGTGGCTGCCTTCTTTTTCAGGTGAATTGGTGGCAGAGCTGAGATATGATTTCAGAGAAGCAGAAGCCACACTTCAGCCCATGTGGGCCAAAACCACATGCTAAGATAGGCAGAGCAAAAAAAGGGAAAAGGTCTGAGTCCCTAATCATGCTGCTGACCCAAAGTGCCATCCCAGCACTGTGTACAGCTGGACTTCCTGTTCCAGAAGGAACCCCTGACTTGCTTAAGCCACTGCAAAGGGGTTTCTGTTATTTGCTGCAGAACTCTACTCCAATTGATACACTCAATGACAATATAATCTCTTAAAGGAAAGAAAATAATGAAGAAGGAATAGCTGCATGTGTCTAAGAATGCTCACAATATTGACAACTTTCAGCAGTCAGATAATCACCAGGCAGCCAACTAGTTAAAGTCTTGCTATTCTGTATTTATTTCTGAAGAATAAGAGGAAAATAACTTGATGAGAAACGTGTTCTATAGGAAAAAGTAATTCTGAAAACAATTAAGGAGAGACATCTCTTCATAAATTTTAATGATACACAGAAAGATTACCACATCAGGGATGGCAAATGGAGCACTGTATTATACTTGTATTATACTGCTGGGCCCAGAGAAGAGCTCACTGTTTTGTTCACTTCTGTGTCCTCAGTATCTAGAGCATCTTATTATAAATATCAAAGGAATGAATGAATGGCTGAATTGAAGAAGTAGTGAATGAATGAGTGAATGCAGCACTCTTTCCTGCTGAGTCATACTAGGTCTCAAGATCCTAACTCCAGTTACCTACAACTTATCCATTGGAACTGGTATGAAAGTTAAATCTTTTTGCAGATTCAGGTCTGCAAAGACTTACTTGGTGTCACTTCAATGAAAAAAAAATAGGAAATGTGGGAAGTACTCTGAAAGAAAAATATTTTGGCTCATAAGAGAAAATTTTAAAATTGCTAAAATGGGCTGGGTGCAGTGGCTCACACCTGTAATCCCCCCACTTTGGGAGGCCAAGGCTGGCGGATCACCTGAGGTCAGGTGTTCAAGATCAGCCTGGCCAACATAGTGAAACCCTTTCTCTTCTAAAAATACAAAAATTAGCTGGGTGTGGTGGTAAATGCCTATAATCCTGGCTACTCAGGAGGCTGAGGCAGAAGAATCACTTGAGCCCAGGAAGTGGAGGTTGCAGTGAGCAGAGGTTGCACGACTGTCCTCCAGCCTGGACAACAGAGTGAGACTTCTTCTCAAAAAAAAAAAAATGCTAAACTTTTATGCACTCTTGATGTCCAAATCTACAATGTACATTTTAAAAATTGATAATATAAAACAATTATCCCCAAACACACTGGGATGACAATAGGATAAGAAATGGTAAGATTTTTATTAAGTGATATATAGAAAATTTGAAATGTTGTCTAACAACTTGAAGAGTGATTTATAACAGTGCTGACACTCTGAAATTATAAATCCAGTTTGGAAATACGAGAAAATCCATACTTCAGATAAACCTAGAATTTAGTGGTTAAGCCATAAAAAGTGTGATTCTGATCTGATTTTTACTATCTTTACCAGACAAAGGGGTCAGTCATGGTGGCTTATGCCTGCAAGCTCAGCACTTTGGGAGGCCAAGGTAAGAGGATCATTTGAGGCCAGGAGTTCAAGACAAGCCTGGGCAACATAGCAAATCTATCTCTAAAAAAAAAAAGAAAAGAAAAGAAAAGAAAGAAAATGAAAATTGCAGACACTCTGTACCACCCCCATCTTCCATCCCATGCCTCTTACTAAGGAATCAAAGTTCAAACCAGACTCTGAATTGGGGATGGGTGAGATTATTAGACCAAGTCAGTTCTTTAGATTGTTTAGAGGCCCAGAAGGGTTTTAAGCCCTTCAAGGGGCATTTGAATGGCACGTTGAATCCTTTGTTTCTGGTAGCAAAGTGCACTCAGCACTCTCCAGGGGACAAGGGCTTTCTCCCATCCTTGCCTTATGGAAAGCCGTCCCGGATCAGGTCCCCCATTTCCCGACTCTCAGAACAGACTACAAACATGCAAATTAGAATTATTTTAATATAAAAAAAGTACAAAAAAAAAAAAGGGTAGTCTTCCCCAAAGATATGTCATCTTAAAAGATCGAATTTTAAAGCATCCTGTAATTTCAAAGTCCACGTGTATTCAAGTGCTGTGTCTTCTCTCACTGGAATGTCAGATATATGACACAAACAAATATGCATATGCTTAGATTTTCAATATGCAAAGTAAACATACAAAAGCTACTTACCACGCAGCTCTCACTGTTATCAGACCTGTGAGGCAAAATGAATGCTAAGGTGTCTAAGTTTTCACAGTGCAAAGGAGTCTGAGATGGATCTTTACAGCTTGTTAGCACAATAAAGAAGTGAGTTGGAATCAAAATTTCTTGATTACGGATGACTCTTCTTTTTCTGTAAAATATGCCAATATTCATTTTAATAAAGAAAGAACTATCTTTTTTCTTGATGAATATTTCAGTAGAGCATGCTTTTAATACATATAAAACTCAAATTCAAACAAATAATTAAATATAAGAAGCTAGTAATCACAATCCCTCAACATATTCTGCCAGACTGAGAGTAATAATTAGAAGACAGGCAGATAAACACAGTCCAAATACTTTTTATTTTCTGTAGAAATTTATTGACTTTTGGAATTCTTTACTACCTAAAGACACTGAAATTGAAACACTAAAGAAAAGATCATTTTTGAACACGTATGCCCATTATTGATAGTCTTAACTTCTAGGCCATTATAGACAAACCGTGGGCAGAGAAAGAACTGGTCAGAGATTTTTTTTTTTTTTTTTTGAGACCGAGTTTCGCTCTTGTTACCCAGGCTGGAGTATAATGGCGCGATCTCGGCTCACCACAACCTCTGCCTCCTGGGTTCAGGCAATTCTCCTGCCTCAGCCTCCTGAGTAGCTGGGATAATAGGCATGCGCCACCATGCCCAGCTGATTTTTTTTTTTGTATTTTTAGTAGAGACGGGGTTTCACCATGTTGACCAGGATGGTCTCGATCTCTTGACCTCGTGATCCACCCTCCTTGGCCTCCCAAAGTGCTGGGATTATAGGCGTAAGCCACCGCGCCCGGCCTCACCTAAAAATATTTTATTAAACATTGAGCAAAACATCAACATTAATCAGATATTTCAAGAGGCTTCCTGTGTAGTCAGAAGTGTCATACACATAAATACATGACACTGGATAAAAAAGATTCTGTTGACTCAACTGGATGGTAATCCCATTTGATACCCATTTTTAAGAGTAATGAAGTATGTTCTTACTGCCTCAGAATCTCTGAAGGATCATAATGTCCATCATAATCAAAGTCAAACACAGGACCACTGACGACATTGACACCATTTCTTTCTTCAGCATACTTTCGCAGTAGGGTGTCGTGAAAGTAGCGCCATATAACTGAAACAAAATAGAAGATGGTGTACTTTCAGAAGTACAAGGTAGTACCATGTTGTCATGTGAAATAAATTAACACCATGATTCAAAATTAGCATTTATAGTAAATAAAGTCAAGTTTGGCTTCAGTCTTTGTCTTGCTTTGTTTAGAGACAGGGTCTTGCTGCATCACCCAGGCTGGAGTGCGTGGCACAATCATAGCTCACTGCAACCTCAAACTCTTGGGGCCAAGAGATGCTCCTGACTCAGTCTCTAGAATAGCTAGGACTACAGGTGCACATCACCATGCCCAGCTAATTAAAATTTTTTATAGAGACTAGAGACCAGGTGTCACTGTTTCCCAGGCTGATCTCGAACTCCTGGCCTCAAGCAGTCCTCCCGAGTTGGCCTCCCCAAAGTGCTGGGACTGCTAGCATGAGCTACTACACCCAGACTTGGCTCTAATCTTAGTGTCAGGCCAAAAATTCATTGTTCAGCTTTGGCCTTTGAAAGGACTCACAGACAAATGTTGAACTGAACTCTATTTGAGGCATTCCTGAACAAGCACATCATGCTGAAATTGTGATCATTGTCATCACTAAAGCACAGCAACATCACAAACACAAATGAGGTATATTATTCAGATTTCCTATTAATAGCTGAATATTAATTTTGAAATATTCGCAAGTATTCTAGATACAAATTAGACTAAAAACTCCTTACATGCTAATATTTTGATATTCTATATATCAATTATGTGTGACTATTTTTATTGCTTTAAAAGTCAAATGCTGCAATAGTTAATGATGATATAAAAGCTATTCATTTGAAAACAAAAACAATTATCAAGAACTTCCAAAAAGTTAAGCAAGAAAGCCAAATGAAAGTTAATATAAGTGTTAGCACACTGTTATTAGCTGGATAAGTTTAGGAAGAACATCCCATACTTTCTTACCAAAGATGTTTATAAACACTTAAATATAAAGCACAATGGATACTGAAATATATGACAATTCTAGTATTTGTAGAATTTTTGTGTACTAGTATTCTCAATGTTAAACAAACCTTTAAGAATGTATTTGGTATTAATTCATTTAATTTATATCAAAAGTCCTATTACAAATGAATTATGCCTACATGTGCAGAAATTCATTAAAATTATCAAATATAGAGTTAATATTTTTTACCTTGAAAACTCTGGTACATTGGCACTATATTTGTAGTAAGCAAAGCTTCAGAATATATTCCACTTGAATTTTTATTTAGTTCTACAAAGAGAAAAGAGGACAAATTAGATACCGCGTGGTAGGGGGAACATTTTTAAAAACTAGCTGAGTACTATCTTAAACCTGTAAAACTTTCCCAAGTACTGGGTCAAGGGAAAATGTAATGTGTTTGCTCAAGTCCTTTACAAAAATAAAAGTCTTTACAAGGTGTTTCAAAGAAACAGAAACTTTAATAACAAGAGCTCCAAATTAAACATATTCAAATTTTATTAGGCTTATTTCAACTAAAAGGAATTGTGCTGACAATCTTCTTTCCTTAAACTTTTTCATAGTGAAAAGAAAAAAGAGAACATCTGGCTCCAGAACAACACCTGCTACCCAGAAAAAACATCACAGGACATCTGTCTCGAAATGCCATACAAGGCTTTTTTGTATGAATCTGAGGCTTGGGCCTGGTCTATTTTTACAATGCAATAGCCAGGTTCTAACTTCAGACACAATATCTGGGGATGAACTGGATGCTGATGGTATTTGAGTACCTGGAGCTTTCTGATGTTTGCCTTTTAAGGCTGGCCCCAAAAATGGCTTCTCATCAACATAAAAATTTGCCATTTCAAAAAACAGAATACTTAGCTTCAAAAAAAAACCATTCCCTAGAGGTTCTGCGTCAGTGAAAAAGCAAGCATACTTAAGCCTCTACCTTTACCCAATTCTCTACCTTTACCCAATTCTCTGACAATTGCATTTTCTTTTTAAACAACAAAGTTAGATCTTCTTCCTAAGAGTCTTGATATATTCTTCCAACTTTACAGTTTTCTCTAATTCTGTTTAAAAGAAATGCAGAAGGGAAACATGAACTGTTCTGCCTATTGTATCTGCACAAAATCAACTACCCTCCCAACAAAAATACAGTTTTATCAAATTCAAGTTTTAGATGATTAAAATTTTCTCCTTGGTAGTTATAGACCAAATTCACAGTTTTTCACCAATAAATAAACAAAGCTACATATATTACCCTATAATGTATGGTAGGATAAACAAGAAAGAAAATGAAAAGGAAGAGAAGAGGATAAGAAAAGGGACGGTCAGGAGAGGAAGGAACTTACGTGGTGGGGAGAGGAACCCGTAACTCACTTTGGTGTTATTTCTATAAAATGAACATTTATGGACAGGACTAAGAGAAATTCTAAAGTCCTGGTAGAGACAGTTAGAAAAATCTTCTGTAGAGAAACTGTCCTAAAGAACAAAATGAAAAAGAACTCTCACATATCAGACACAGAAAAGGAAATTGCTTTATTAACACTTAAAGGTGAACTACCTCATGAAATGATGCAGGTCTAGCTGTCAGGTCATGTCCTTCACTATTTTCCCATTTTCCTACTAGTATAGTCACCTTTTTCCTAACTAAAATGTAAAAATCCTTCACAATATTAAAGATAGTAATTGTCATATATATGTAAATATCTTCAGATTCTGCTGTGCTAATATGAAATAATGTTTATGTTTTGATCTATATAATTTTAAGCCCCTACACAGTAAAATGTTGATTTTTAGACATCTGAGTTTATCTTCCACAGCCAACTACAGTGCCAAAAGTTGGTGGGACAAGGGAGACAGTCACTGAACAGCAATGTAAAAACCTCAAGCATCACGATGACTGTCAAGTCATGCATTTTAATTATAGAAGAAAACAAAATGGAATCCAGGAACACCGTAATTCAGGTATAAATATTAATAAACAGGATGAGGTGCCTATAAAAAACGGTGTAGACTGATCACTTACAAAATCAAAAAATTTTGTTGTTTGGTGTTTAAAGACAGTCTTGAAAAATCTTAAAGATCAAAGTTCAAGAAACTTTATATAAATATATGTGGTTATCATATATTTTTAACATAGAAATTATATATAAACACACATATCCCTATCTTTTATTTAGCAGTCTCGCTGATTAGTAAATAGTTTTATTTTTAAAATTCAACAGCTGCCCTCAAGGATGCTCTCTCAAATCCCTCTGTCCTTCCCTTAAGGGCATCCCATACCTTCCCATCACTTTCAGTTTCAGCCCAGTTTAAAATTTTATTCCTCGTAAAAGATCACAAGCTCATCTCTCCCCGCTTCTCTCCTTCCAGGACCATCTCCTTCACCATTCCTCCTTCTACCAGAGCACCTGGGAGGCCAAGAGTAAGTGGGAAGGCTGCTCTTATTCTGAGATATTTACTCTCACTCAACTTTTAAGTCCTAACTCCTCTGGTGTTGGTGGTGGGCAGGATTCTGGCCTCTCCCTGGTGAGTCTTCCTATAGGTGTCTTGTAATGATGTTACTGAGCGATAATGACGGTTTTGCCAAACAGTGAGTCCCCTTAGATTTGAGCAACTGAAGGAAATACTTGCCCTCACATAGCCATATATTTAGAAATGGGTAACCGTGACTGGTCCTAAGGCTGATTTCATGCGATTATAAATCGAAATCATAAAATATCAAAACTGGGGGTGGAGAGGCAAAAGAGAATTCTTTACTACTCAACCCTCATTTCACAGAAGAAATCTGGTCTGAGTTCTCAAAGTCAGGCAGCTGCTTCGTGGCAGAGCTTGAACTGGAACTTAATTTTTCTGACTCCCTGTTCAGTGTTCCTCTAATATGGGAACTGAGGATAAAGCCAAGGTTAACAGTCAGAAACTATGCATTCAATGTTCTGCCTAATCGTTCATTTGAAATAACCACACATAGAGAAAGAGGTGACAAATACTTGCATTTCTGTCCACAGTATAGGATGTCCAAAGGGGCATTAAGATGTCTTGGCTGTATCCGCTCATAAACTGGTGCTGGGAAAGAAGACAGATGGTGTTTTTCTTCTGGAGAACTCTGGGTCTTCCATAGGGTAAAGTTTCATGCTTAATAATCTTCTCTTGGGTCATAGGATAAAAATAAATGTAGTTAGTATACATTATATGACAATATATGGTGCGATACACTCATCTAATCCTTTCCTCCACTTGACCATATTGAAGATTTACTTTTGACTATTTAAAAAAACTAATTACAAAGAATAGAAGCACCAACAATTAAGAAGACAAATGAGGTTCACTGTAATTTTTGCCTATAAAGATTCTAAAGTCAATATAATATCGAGATACCACAAGGACACTATATGGAATTGCTAAATATTCCAGTTAATTCAAAGTTATATTACTAAAAATTATTTAGTATTATTTTAATTACTTATTCTTTAGGAAACACTTCAGAAAGCACATTTTTTGGATGGTATGTGTACTTGGAAAGCAGAAGTACAGAACTGAAATTATGAGACTAAACTATATAAAATAATAATAATATAGATATTATTTATTGCCCTTTTCCCAAATGTCAAGTACTTGGTACACATCATATCACGAATTTTTACATCTCCCTATGAATTAAGGTTTTATGCCCATTTTACAGATGAGGAAACAGCAGCTGACAGGGAATACTTCATACTCTATGTTCCATATAACGTATAGTACCTAAGCTCATATTCAAACTTGGATCTACTCAATTCTGAAAGTGCCATCATTCACCACAATACTTTGCCACCTTGGGGATATCAGAGATTTTTCTAACTCCAACATTTACCTAGGGATTTTATACAGACAAGCTTACATCAGAATTAACACAGAATTTACTTCTTTATTCCAGTAGGAAAAAAAAGTGTATGCCAAGTAACGTAAGGATGAGAGAATATATTATGGTGACCCTGAACATTCAAGTCATAAGTGTAAACTTTCATCAGCTGTCTGCATATTTTTTACTTTTAGTCAAAAGGAATGAGAAATAACTTTAGATCAATAAATCAATAATCTTGTATGATTAAGAACCAGGGGAGACAGAAACTTAGGTATTTCAAATGGGAATCTGAGGCTCTATCAACTTAGAGAAGTCATCAAAAATTTCAGAATACTTCCATCATGTTCATAAAGTGTGATTCGGCTTCCACTAAATATGTTACATACAATATCCACTGCAAAATATCTCTTCTTTCTTTATGCCTAACAGTCTAAACTGTCAAGCAAATAAACCTCTATGTTTCATCAGCTGGTCCTCCAGAACTCCCTTCATTTTATTGGTTATTCTCAAATAATGCCCCTAAACCAGTTCTCTGCATTTCACACTGTTGAGAAAAAGCCTGCTTCACATTCCACACACACTCGAGAGTAGCATGCCTTACCTTCTGCTGCAGTCAGATTAAACTGTGTCTGAAAATCCTCAATTGGCAAAATCTAAAAAAGGTCATAAACTATTTTTAAGGACTGAGAGACATGTTTTAACTTTTGTAACACAGAAACGCTATAGACTGATTAATCCAACATAGAACAAAGATCATTTACAATAGTCTTGAATCAGTGGATATTTTTTCTCTCTTTAAAGACAAGAGTCTCACTGTTTTACCCAGGCTGGTGTGCAGTGGTGCAATCATGATTCACTGCAGCCTCGACCTCCTGGACTCAAGCAATCCTCCTGCCTCAGGCTCCCGAGTAAATTGGATTCCAGGCATATGCCACCATGCCTAGCTAATTTTTTTAGTTTTTTGTACAGATGGGGTCTCACTGTGTTCCCCAGTCTGGTCTTGAAACTTCCTGGTCTAGGGCAATCCTCTCACCTCAGCCTCCCAAAGTACTGGGATTACAGGTGTGAGCCACCACACAAGCCAGAGTGATTTTTTTTGATGAGTAGGACAGAAGCAAAGGAATGACAGCTGCAAAAATTGTTAGTATAAGCATCACACCAGTAATTAAAAAATATGATTGCTGCCTTATAATTCTTATCTATACACTACAACAGTCTTTCTTCTAGCCTAACTCAAGTATAAAACAAAAGGTAAAGCATAAAATAAACTATTCTCTAAATCGCTATATTTATGGATTTTATCAATTTTGTTCATAACTTGTCTAGTATTTTTATCTTTTTACAATAATGATATATTAACATGGAAGTGAAAAGGGACTGTAAAATATTCATATTTCATATATTCATTTCAAAAAGATATTTTTTCTTCCTACATTTAAACAACTTAAATTGTATTTTTAAAAAGGTATATTGCAATTGGTTTACTATGTGCTCATGACCTCACTGCTAGAGTAAAAGCACAGATTCCCTAACTCAGGATGCTCAAGGACCGAACCAGACTTCTCCACACCTGCACTCAAGTCAAGTCACAGCACCAAGCAATTAAAAATAGAGCTGCAAATGCAAAAACTAGAAGCAGAAAAGATGTATTACAAAAGTTCTGCATGTGCCTTCTAGAAGTAAAATATATGTTTACCTACCCCCACTCCTACATTCTGACTTGATGATTAAGTATTTCTACAGCACATGCTATGCAGAGGGTGCTACAAACCATACATACTGGACCAAACTTCTTGATACTTACCGAAGGCTTACATGAGCAGCCAAGGTTATCTCTGGGGTTTCTTGTGAAGGGGCACTGTACCAAGGGATGAACTTCTTTGGGATGCTTTGGGGTATAAACAGGATTCTTTAGAAGGTGGTTAAGACTTCCATGAGTTCCGTTGTTAGGAGCTGGTGTCAAATTCAGTAAATCTGAATAATTTTAAGAATGGGAGAGTTACTTAGATGTTTCAAAACCAAACAAATAGGAGACATGTACCATGATCTTTACTTTTTAAAAATCAAATATATGAGTCCTTTATTCTAACTAAAATAAAAGTATAACACTCTCTTGGGTTTTAGAGTATTTAAGACTAAGCTATCTTTAATAGAAATACTGATATGCATGCTGTACTTCACTACAAAATTTCTGAATTTTAATGTGGACAATAACTACAGTCATTGGCATATTTTATGCCAATCATGGTGCTAATATATTTTCTTATTTATTCCCCAAAACAATTTAAGCAGTTATAATCAATATTTGGTAGATGAGTAATCAAAGTGTTTTTCCCCAATTCTCAAAGTTATTAACTAAAAGATCTAGAATTCAACACCAGCTTTGTCTAAGACTCATGCTCTTAAAAGTAGTAACAGCAAATACTTCTGTAGTAAGCACTTACTATATGCCAGGTGCTTTTAAGTATTTTAGGATGTTAACTCACTTAAACTATACAGTCTCCCACTAAAACAATTGTACTTAAGACATATTTAAGGCTTTGCAAATGCTTAGGGCCATTATCAGAATAAGAAACTAATATTTAAAACACAATGCTTCACTCTAAAAGGACTATTTCAGAAAGTACAAAGTAAACCAAGAATATCTCTAATGTGTTCCTCCTTCATTTCTACAACCCTGACATTGACCTACATCCAACCATTACGGCTACCAGAAGTTCCACCAATTTTGTACACCTTTCACTGCCCCCAGTCTCTTCTATGACTTCTATCACTGCTCTGAGTCAAGAATCAAATCATTAAACCAAGGGCCTAAGTGCTGGGCACTGGGGTGTGCAGACCAGCCTGCTGTGAACAGTGTACTTTACCAGCATGCAGCCTAGTGAAACAGATAAGTAATAAGATGACACATTCCCCACATTTCTTCAGTGAGTCTGAGTCAGGTAAAAGGTAAAAATCTGTCTTATCTCACCATCATCTCCACAAAGTTGCCTACAATGTGGCTTGCTTTTGATAATCCTATTTCAGGTCTGTCTTCAGAAGGGAAAAAAGTTGTTCACACTTACCACACATTAAGTTATAGACTTCAATGTTTTCAAAGGTGTCAACCTCAGTGCCATGCTTGAATCCGGGTCCATAGCCAATAAAGAGGGCCTACATGGCCAGAAAAGGAAGTTTATCAGTGCATTTCAGCTGTCTACAAGTTGGTCCAAAAAATTCTGTTATCCACATTGTACATATACAAACTGGTTATGATAAGAGGAAAACTACCATGCCTGGGAGACTTTGTGGGAAATATAGTTTTAACCCTATCACACATATAATCTAAAGACATCCAGGATGTCTCTTAGTTTTACTACAATTCTTGACTTGACAATCGGAACTGAATGAATGATAAAATTTTTTTTCATCTATGACACTAAATACAAACCTCACCTTGCCCACCTTACACAGTGCTGCAGAAATCAAATTTGATAATTATTGTAAGTTTATTTTGAAAATGTTAGAGTGCTGAGTAAATGTAAGGTATTATCTCTTCTCTGAACATAAGTATGACAGTTTCTTATCTATTATACTGCTGGCTTTCTTCAACTGTAAAGCAGTATTCTTATCAGAGCACAAAATATGAAAAATAATTATTAGAAATATAGGATATATAAGTCATATGTTCATGAAATATGAATAAAAAATTTTATTAATTTTATAATTTTTTATAGATTTAGGGGTATGAGTATAGTTATGTTACTTGGATATACTGCATAGTGGTGAAGTCTGGTTACCCATCACCTGAATAGTGTACGTTGTACCCAGTAAGTGGTATTTCACCCCTCACACTCCTACTCTCCTACCTTTAGGGAGTCTCCAATGTCTATTATTTCACTCTGTATGTCCATGTGTGCCTATTGTTTAGCTACCACTTACAAGTGAGAACATGTGGTTTCTGGCTTTCTGTTAGAGTTATTTCACTAAAGATAATGGCCTCCAATTCCATCCACGTTGCTGCAAAGGACATGATTTCATTCTTTTTTGTGACTGAGTAGTATTCCATCGTGTGTGTGTGTGTGTGTGTGTACACATACACATATATTCACACATACGCCACATTTTATTCCATCATATACATATATATGTACATATATACATATATTCACACATATACCACGTTTTTAATCCAAGCATCCATTGACAAATATTTAGGTTGATTCCATGACTTCACTTCTGTGAACAGTGCTGCCATAAACATACGAGTGCAGCTGTCTGTTTGTAAAATGATTTCTTTTCCTTTGGGTAGATACCCAGTAGTGAGATTGCTAGATTGAGACATAGTTTCATTTTTATTTCTTTGAGAAATCTCTATACGGTGATCCATAAAGGCTGTACTAATTTACATTCCCTTCAACAGTGTATAAGTGTTCCCTTTTCTCCAGATCCTTATTAACATCTCATGTTTTTTGACTTTTTAGTAATAGCTAATTAATATAAAATTGTAACAATATTCTTTAAAGTTCAAAGAAAAATAGCTTTATGAAAATGTTTCATTAATTCTCATTCAAGAAATATAATCATAGTCTGTTTTCAAGTCTCAAACTTCATATATCAGTTTTTCTTTAGATTTAAGCCAATTAAGTATCACAGGTTTACTCACCTGCATATTTGAAAATGTATTGTCAGAGCCATGAAATCCACTTCCACAATATTTCCTTTCTGAGGGATTCCTAATTTTGACATATATGAATTAAAAACGTAAAGTCCCTTCATAACACATAATTGATAGTCATAACATTATTTTCATTAATAAAAAGTATGTAACTATTCTGATAAACCAACATAAAAGTAAATAAAACCACCTGGCTTTGAAAATCATTAACAAGTCACCTCTATCTTTTATTTCATGGACAAATAAACTATAATCAATATAGTATACAGGAGAAAACCACTAGCATCAAGAGAGAAGTGGTTTTGACCATTGGCTGTGTGATTAACTACCTGTGAATTCACACAGATTTAACGATCTTCTTTGATTTCAATTTCTCATGTTGGTTATTCGTAAAAATAATGATGTAGCCTAAAGAAATGCTTGCAACATGGTATTTAGATATTTACTAAATATTAGTTCTCCCATGAGAGTAGGACCATTTCTCCTTTTGTATTCTTTCTTTGAAAACTAAAAGCCCAGCTCTCCAGTAAGAGTGGAGACAGTATAATTCTGTTTACTGGATTTTAGTTCACTGCTTAGGTTTTGCTTGAAGGGGGAATGTATCATGACTAATTTCTTGGCAACCACCAAAACAGTTAATGAACTAAAGTTTATTGATTGTGTATAACAAAGATAGTTATTCATTATAAAGTAAAGTGTTTTCACCAACGGTTTGCTGGGCTTTGGAGGCACAATTAGACAAACTGTAATGTGTAGAAGAGATGCAACGGCAAGCGGTAACAAATGTAGATTATAAGAAGTAATCAATACGGACATGAAAGGCCTGAACGATGGTTCTCAGCCAAGGATAATCTGGGTGATGTCTCCTCCCCAGGGAACTTTTGGCAATGCTGAGGGGCATGTTTGATTGTCACATTGGAGAAAAGGTGCTACTTTCAGCTAGTGGGGAGAAGTAAAGGATCTTTGTCAAATATCCCACAGTGTGCAGGACAGCTCTCCACAACAAAGAATTATCCAACTCAAACATCCATAGGCCGACATGAGAAATCCTGGGTTAGAGTGAAGAGAATCATACTTACACAGTTTTCACATAACAGTATTGTTAAAAAAGGGCTCAGTGGTTACCCCAAATCACTAACAGATCAGGCTAAGTTTACCTCGGAGACTGTCAGAACTTACAATGCAAGTTGCCACTGAGGGTCCAAATAGAATGTCAAGGGCTCAATTCTATCATTCTTGGCAAAGTGCAAACGCTTAGGTAAGAAATGCTTCAGGTAAGGTTTGAAGTGCTGGTTTGGTTCCCGGCACTGAAATTACAAGCAGCAAAGAAAAAATATTATTTCCCTAGTATCACGTGTCAACTTTTCTTGAAATTGCCAACTTTTTATGAAATTTTTCTTCACAAACATTTCATCAGCCTGCCCAATAAGTCAGAGATGGAAAAACAGCTAAAAGTTCTTACTACTTGTATAAAGTACAAGGTAAATCTTCCAAACTACTTGAAACATTAAGCGGAAATTATAATTATTACTGCATAAAAGCCCCAGAACTCAGACTGTCACTAGATCACATTCAAGTTGCCACTGATGATTCTATTTTCAAACATCCTTGTAACTGCAATTGTGTTTTCTTGCAGGCTTAAAATGTATGAGTATAAAATGTAGTATAGATAACTCAGCATTAGTATAGAAACTTATTTTGTTAAGGCATAAAAAAAGACTGGAAGGAAATATATCATAATGCTAATGGTGTTTATGGTGGTACAGCTATAGGGTTTTTCCTTCTACTTTAAAAATTATTTCTTGTAAATAGTTTTAAAATTATTTCTTCTCATATAAATTTTACAATGCCAATAAATAAATTCTTAAAAATTTTTCAAACTTAGATTATTGGGACACAACCTTAAAGATCTTTAAACTACATAGCATTTACATGTTGGTCCAGATTACTAAAATATTCTAATCCTTCAATTCCAATAATAGATGCTCAAACTTTTCTTTCAATATATATTATACAAATCTAAAAACTAGATAATGGAAAATAAAGATACTCACAGAAAGATTTCGAGCGATGGCTTCATAGTTAACTGGAAGGAAACATAAGAATTAATAGTAGATGGTATGCTATAGTTAAAAGATAATACAAAAACATACAGTGTCAGATTCAAACTCTATATTTAAATACCAAGGCAGGTTTTAAACAGCCCATTTAAATCATTACATGTTAGCCACTGAAAGGAATTAGACAGAACTTTAGGTATCACCCTGTAATGACTCCCATGACATAGAGTCATATTGTTAAATGAAAGGACAAGTTACAGAACATCTACCTATTCCTCCATCTGTTAACCCACATATCCATTCACCCATCTAACTATCCATTCACCTGTCCAACCATCTCTCCATCCATTTAGCAACGAATATCCATCCATCCCTCAAAGGATCTATCCATCTAGATCTGGTATGGTTTCACTGTGCAAAAATAAAAACTGTATGTGCTTTATAAATGCATTGAAATATCTGGGAAGATACAGTCCAAGCCTAACACTGGGTGTTTCTAGAGAAGGAAAATGAGTTGTCCAGTGGGAGGACTTCAGGTGGGAAGCTGTTACTTTTTACTTTGTATAATTCAACGTTCAATGATAGTTCTAGAATTTTGAAATAAGAGGGGTATGAGGAAACTTCAAAGAGAAGGCAAGTAGACTAATTTAAAAACTGAATTTGCATAGTATGGCCATTGATTTACTAAGGGTAGTTTGTACTACAATTCAGTAACTGTCTAGCTTCCTAGATTTTATTTTAGCCAAACATTATATAAGTTTGAGAAAATTATCAAGATAAATGTACATCATTTTACAGAAATACAGAAATACATTTTATGTATTTCTGTAAAATGATGTACACATATAGTTTTTGCTTTAATTTGGGAAATTTTAGGGTATAACTGAGATAAGGAAATGGCTACAGCTTAGGTATCCCATCCCAAACATCTCTGGAGACTACTATTCTGGAGACTCCTATTGCCTCTAGAGTTTTTTGTTTTTTTTTTTTAGAGACATAATCTTGCTCTGTGTCACCAGGCTGGAGCCCAGAGGCGCAACCTCACCTCGCTGCAACCTCCACCTTCTGGGTTCAGGTGATTCTCCTGCCTCAGCCTCCCAAGTAGCTGGGACTACAGGCGTGTGCCACCATGTCCAACTAATTTTCGTATTTTTAGTAGAGACAGGGTTTCACCATGTTGGCCAGGATGGTCTTGATATCTTGACTTTGTGATCCGCCCACCTCGAACTCCCAAAGTGCTGGGATTACAGGAGTGAGCCACTGCACCTGGCCGGTCTGTACTGTCTTTATAAATAACAGGTTTTTATAACAGTCATGTACTACTTTTCTAAATTTAAAAAAATACTAGTTAAAACCCGATGTTATGCATGTGGAGCCTGTGCTTTGTGACACTGTGTAAATATATCTGCATAACCGTTTTCCTGCAGTGAAATCTATTTTCTTCATTAATAGACAACAGTATCTATCTATTGAAACATACCTTACCAAATAGCCCAACCTAAACCAATTCTGGTAATTGTCAGAAAATTTTATTCTCTTTCTGTTTCAAAGTTAACTATAACAAAAAGACATAATTTGCTCTACACATCTGAAAACTATCATGGATGGTAATCAAAAAGACAGGTGGGTAACAGAGGTAGAAATAGTTATGAAATACACTTGACTGGCAAAAGAATAAATATCTTAAAACATTTTTTGGCAGTTTGTGTTCCACATGTAGTCAAGAGAGAACATGAAATTCATTCCTCCCTATTTAAAAGATACATTCTTTATTGTGTCTGAAATGGTTTAAGGGAGGCATTTCCGAGGACAGGAATCAATTGCCTGTAGAATTAATCATTTCTGCCAGCCTTCCTCCTCACAACAGAATATTATTCCCAAACTTAGTAAGTCATTTTAAATTAAACTTGAATAAATGTAGTTGGATTTTTCTCTTCAGTTTTTTTTCTAGTATAATCTTTAATCTGATATAAAGTAAACACACACTTCAACATAAAATTGCACCAAGCTCATCAAATAGTATGCTTAGCCCATGAATAAACAATAGGTAAGTGGTTAGAGTTGTGTTCTCACATCCGGTCCCATAAAATCAATTCCCATACAAAAGATCTGCATTAGAGATTTAATCATGAACAAAATTAACCCTGATTTCCTTTAGTTTAGAGACGTAATGATTTAGAGGAAGGTATTTTTTTTTTTCTGAGATAGAGTCTCAGTCTGTTGCCCAGGCTGGAGTACAGTGGCATGATCTCAGCTCACTGAAACTTCTCCCTCCTGGGTTCAAGCAATTCTAGTGCCTCAGCCTCCCAAGTAGCTGGGACTACAGGTACCCACCATGACGTCAGGCTAATTTTTGTCCTTTTAGTAAAGATGGGGGTTTCACCATGTTGGCCAGGCTGGTCTCGAACTCCTGACCTCAGGTGATCTGCCCACTTTGGCCTCCCAAAGTGCAGGGATTACAGGTGTGAGCCACCACATTCAGACTAGAGGAAGGTATTCTTAATATGACCATATTCAAAGTTATCACAGCGATATACTTACATGAAAAGTATTTATCTGGGACATCAGAGGGTCTCAATCGAGCTGCAGGTCCATAGATAACTTTAATATTTTTAACATCCCCCAAATATTTATTCAGATATATGTATTTCTTACAACTGCCTTGTTCCATGCCTAGGAGAAAAAAAATCCCAAAACATGCTGTAACCTTAACAAAAAATTAAAATGCAGAGCAGATTTTTTTTTTTACTTCCAGAGTTAAATATGGGTGTAGCACTCATATTAGTTGAACATCTGATAAGTAAGACAGAATTTCAGATGTATCTCTTACTTCACTTTTTTCAAAATCTTTTCCATCACCCAAATTTATTTTAATGTTTCTTTTTTATATTACAATATCATTATTTGAGCAAAGAAGAATGTCTTATCACAGTTTTAGACTGAATATGAAAGCCCAGTTATTTGCCCCAAACCACCTAGGATATTAACTTGGAATGTATGTATGTGATTCACTCTCATTCCAAGACTGGAGCTTCTTTAGCATGTAACTTCTCAGGACTGTTTCTAAACATAGATTTCTCTAATTATTTCTGAGGCAAACAAGAACAAAACCAAAAAGAACCTACTTTCTGTATTGCACACTGCTTCTGTAGTCCCGAAACTGTACATAAGCATGTTACAAAGATCACAGTAAGTAAAAGTGAAATTAAAATATTATCAAAATTAATACAGAATGTTTCTAAAGTCAGATTTATCATGCTAAAGAAAACTGAAAACAGATTTATCATGCTAAAAGCATTGTGTCTGGGCACAATGCTTATGCCTATAATCCCAACACTTTGGGAGGCGGCAGTGGGAGCTTAAGGCCAAGAGTTTGAGACTAGCCTGGTTAACATAGCAAGATCCTATATCTACCAAAAAATATTTTTTTTAATTAGCCAGATGTGGCGGCACACGCCTAGTTCCAGCTACTCAGGCGGCTGAGGTAGGAGAATCACTCGAGCCCAGGAAGTCAAGGCTGCAGTAAGCTGTGATCATGCTACTGCACTCCAGCCTGGGTAACAGAGTGAGACTATCTCAAAAACAAAAGAAGAAAACTGAAGACATAATAATCAGCTCCAATTAAATCTAAAATTGCAGAGTTACAAAAATTTAATGTTGAAAAATATATTTTTTAACTACTCAAATTCTTGGTGTATTCCTCTCTCAAATCAGAAGATACAGGTACATTGTGCTTGGCAGACACTTAGGTTTCTGTGAATTCTGTATTTCACTTACATTTTATATTTAATGTAATGTTTTCCTGAAGACTTTCTACAAGAAACTACATTTTTCAAAAAGAATTAACTATAACATTCAGAAGAAATGAGAAAACAATCAAGTAAACTTTCTTCGACTCTTTCACCTGAAGAGTAAATAATGCAAATTCAGATTACCATGATCCGAAATAAGGATGAGGTTCAGGCATCTGTGCAAGTTCAGCTCTTTCAGACCATCCATCAGCATACCAACCATGCTGTCAACCCTCTGCAAGGCTTTGATGACCTAAGAATGGGAAGCAACCTCATGTGATGCATTCCACACTCAGGGCTATTTATGCATAAAGCTCTCTGTTAGAAGAAGAGGAAGAGGAAGAAAAAGAAAGAAGAAAGAAAGAGAGAAAGAAAGAGAAAGAGAAGAAGAGAGAGGGAGAGAGAGAGAGAAAGAAAAAAAGAAGAGAGAAAGAAAGAAAAGAGAGAGAAAGGGAGAAAGAAAGAGAGAGAGAAAAGGGCAACTATGGTGAGCTAATTTACATTAGACTAAGACAGGTCAGGGCTGAGATGTAAAGAACAGTAAGTAACTACAGATCATTAACAATGCAAGAGTCCTAATTCTATACATGTTCAATTTTAAGTTTTGGGAATGACATTAGCTGATCTATTTGTTCTCCCTTCCTAAGGTCAGAATGCTGCTACTTAGATTAGACCCAATTTAAGTCAAAATAATAATGGCTCAAATCTACAGCATCTGGTCAGAAACCTATATGTTCTCAATTACCACTTCATTTTCTACGATTAATTTCTTCTTATGCTTTCTGATCATTCAAATGGTTACTGTATAAATACATTTCCTAATTTTCAAATATGTTAAAATTTTTCATGAAATGCTTCTTATAATTCAATGTATTTAATTTTCCAAATTGGAAATCATAGGAATACAACCCATTATTTCCTTACAGACTGCATGTATTTTACCTATAAATATAACAAGAACACAGAATGACAAATGATATTGGCAAATTGCTTTCTGGCACTCATTTTATCCTCTCTCCTTGCAAAACCATTTGAGAAAAATTATTGTACAATTTTGTGCATTTTCTGTAATGTGTGGAATCAGCTTAATCTTCATTCATTGTCAAGTATATTTCACCGTAATATGAAATAAGCTCTTTCACCATAATATGAAACAAGACAAAATCTTTCATTCAAAGATATCCAAGCAACAGGAATAGGAATTTTTAAGTATTAAGACACAGTGGTTTCGGTGTGCTAGTAATGTTGGAGTTACAGAGTTTGCAAATTGATGGCTATGATTTAAAAAGTAATGGGCTCAACCTTAAATGAAGATGAGTCAGCAAAGCAGGTGCTTTGGCACATTGTTAGTGAATTAGAAAAGGCAGCAATGATTTTAAAATGTATGTAACCTTATAAACAAGAATAAAATGATCCTTGGACTTTTCTCTAGCCAAATTGACCTAGATACGAGTCTTGGGTATCAGTGACTTTAGTAAAAAGGGTAAAAATCACACTACATGTAGCTAATTGTTCAAACCAAGACAACAGCTACAAGAAACTTTTCCCTTTGACCAATTTTGAAATGTCCACGTTGCTGGCATGCGTCTTCCTTATTCTCCCTCTAAGCAGGAGCATTTCTGCTAAGTTGAAGTACAGAAGGAAAGGAAGGCACAATGGAGTTACTAACTACAGTGGAGCTGCTGGAGATGGATTCTGATGGAAAGAATACAAAGGGTAAAAACAGACCTAGGTGAGAGCTACCTTCTCTCTTCACTCTTTTATCCAAGGTGATACCTACTTTTTAAGAGGGGCAAAAATCTAGGGCAGACCCAGGGAAAGGGAAATGAAGGGAAGATGGTTTAGGCAGTTGTTGTAAATTCAAGTGAGAAAAATAAGGATGCTTTTTTGCCTTCCTTCCTTCCTCTGCTGTTGTTCAATTAGGAAAACAATACACTCAAAAACCAGGATCACGATAGACATGTCAGGCCAGGCTTTAGTCTGAACTCCATGCTGAAGAGTCCTTAAGGCTCACCAACTATCTAGCTTGGGCTATCTGGGCAGGAAAACTGATAGGAATTTGGAAGTGAGGCCCTAGAAATTAAGAAAGAGTGTTTTTTAAAATAGCGTATTACCCCTTGGAATACCCATGGGGCACAAGATAACTACGTAAGGTTCTGACAGGAGGGATGCTGGCAATACCTCTTTTCACTTTTATCATGACTAAAAATAGTCAAGTTCCTTACTTTTTACTTCTTTTAATATCTTAGGTAACAGACAAAATATATATGCTCGAATCATTTGTTTTTTTATACGGAGTCCCGCTCTGTCTCACAGGCTGGAGTGCAGTAGTGTGATCTTGACTCACTGCAACCTCCCCTGCTGGGTTCAAGAGACTCTCTTGCCTCAGCCTCCTGAGTAGCTGGGGTTACAGGCACACACTACCATGCCCAGCTAATTTTTTTGTACTTTTAATAGAGGCAGGGTTCTGCCATGTTGGCCAGGCTGGCCTTGAACTCCTGTCCTCAGGTGATCCATCTGCCTCAACCTCCCAAAGTGCTAGGATTACTGGTGTGAGCCACCGTGCTGGGCCTTCAAATCATTTTCTGTTCTAATGCTTTCTGTGTTCCAAAATATTAGGTTGGTGCAAAAGTAACTGCATTTTTTTTTTCATTAAAATGGTAACAAAAATAATATGGCCACGTAAAAACTGAAAGCAGTATTTGCTGTTTTAAAGTGCTACACAGATTAAAAACATAGCCAGGAGCTGGCTAAATTCCTGAAAGGGTGTCTGGAGAAACAAGATGTTACACTGGAAGTGTTAGTCCATGAGCTCTTTCCTATCTCTAGTTTCCTAGGGAATACTCAATAAAAATAATTATTCAAATGTCTCTATACTTTTGACAAAATCTCCCATCCTTCTGTGGGACCTCTGTTGTAAGCAAGGTCTCAGGTGGCAAAAGACATATCTTCTAAGGAAGAGAGTTCATAGAAGGCTTCCTCTGCTCTTTGACTTGTTACCCTATATTTTCATATTGGATGCTTAGCTGTTTACAACATTCTCAAAAAGCACTTGGTATTTAGGCCAAGGTAAAAGGCCATGGAGTGGATAAAGGCTTTCAAACTAAAAACATGGAAGTTAATTTATTATCAGTTCAATTTAGCACTGTGGAAAACATAAGCTAAACAATTCTCCCAACTCTTATTTTGTTTAAAGTGCATCCTTTTATTTAGTAATATTGTGCATAATACTCGCTATTTCCAGAAGTCACAGATCTTAACAGAATAGCCTAGCAGCCTCCTTCAAAGCGAGGTTCAGTTTGATGACTGGATTTAATGAAGTAATTACTGATAAAAATGTACTTACTTCACTGCTGACTGGTCCATATGAATGACCTGAAGAATCTGGTTCTTCTAAATACAGAGTGTAAAAGTGTGGTCTAAATCAAACAGTATCAAAATGTAATATTTTACGAACACATTGAAAAACAGAATGGAAAAAATAATTCATCAATTGATAGGGATTAAATTTTCTAACACTAGGTTAACAGTTCTACTGAGAAATAATTTACAGCTTTGAAATTCTTCAAAATGTGGTGTGGTCATTCACTAAGAAATTTATTCCGATATAAAACATCATAGCAAATAGTTAAGTTTTGTTGCATCCTATTTTAAAATAGAAATACTACATTTCTACAAAAAAAAAAGTATTTATGATAGAAATTAATTGCCTACATACCTTTCATCTTTAGGAAGCTGTAACCACTGAAGAACAGCTACAATCCTTTCTTCAAATGGTATTGAACTAAAATTAAGAATAAACAAAAATGAAAGATGTCTGACAATCGTTTAAAATACAGATTTTTTTCACTAAAAATGTCATCAAAACCTACTAAGTGCTATTTAGCATCTATTGTGTTTGAAATCAATTAAGGGTTTTATTTGAAAATTTAATTTCCCAATGAAGGAATGAAAGTTAGGTTTTACACAGAAAAAAAGGTTGCAATTGGATTTAAAACGTTGCTTGCTATCCTCTACTTGAGGATATATTCATGGACCTGACAATAGTCACTGCTTACCACGTGAATAACTCATGTGTTAATATATTTTGCAAAGCATGTATCACGAAGAACTCACTCACTGATGACTCAGCACAGCTGGGGAGTAGGCACCTGAGGAGCTGATAGCAGTTCTCGAGGCAATATCGCCTGAGCAAAATTGATTATGCCTTCCTCTGGACATAGGTTTTGTTTACACACTTCCAATCAAAGTTCTTGCCCCACCACAAGTACAATGAATTGTGTACTTTACTAAACCTTAGAAAGTCAGAGACCATATACTATTAATCTTTGAATCCCCATGCCTAGTGCATAACCTCTTTGTTTTGTTTTGAGACAGAGTCTCACTCTGTCACCAGGCTGCAGTGCAGTGGTGGATCTTGGCTCACTGCAACCTCCACCTCCCAGTTCCAGGGATAACCCTGCCTCAGCCTCCTGAGTATCTGGGACTAAAGTTATGCATTACCATGCCCAGCTAATTTTTTTGTTTGTATTTAAGTAGAGATGGGGTTTCACCATGTTGCCTAGTCTGGTCTCAAACTCCTGACCTCAGGCAAACCGCCCGCTTCAGCCTCCCAAAGTGCTGAGATTACTTGAGCCACCACATCTGGCCAATAAACTCTTAATTACTGTCCATGGAATAAAAACAGTGGCAAATAAGAAGGTGGAGAAGAAGCATTGCACCGTGCTCATGGAAACCATAAGAACACAAACTAGCATAAGATCACAAGGAAAACTGCTATGCATTTTTTGTCTGGGATTTAAGATATTTTCTGTTCACCCTTCTAAACACCTTGTTGTATTGATTTTGTGATAGAGATTTTATAATTTTAAAATAAATAAAATTATTTTGATAATCTTGCTCAAATTTGCCAAAGAGATTCTTCCATTAAAAAGTTTCTGTTTTTTCTCAATGCAGCATGGATTTCAAATATCACAAAGAGGTTATTCTAATCAGTTTCTTACCTTAGAAAGCATATCTATTAATTTAAAAATGGAAATCCAGGGGTACCATTAATGTCATCTTTTAAATAGTATTTCCAAACACAATAGATGCTAAATAGGAGAAAATCATTCCTACCTGTGTCCTCTTTAATACATTCATCTTTTCCTTCTCTTGGTTCTGAAACCACCTTTACAAAAATTATAACTGAGGAAATTATGACAGTGAAAGAGTCACATCTAACCGATTCCATCTTACTTCTAACCTTTAAGCTGTCCTTGTTCATTCCTGGGCATAGGCTGAACTAACCTTCAGAAGGAATTTAGTTCATAGTTTAACTCTGACACAAAATTGGTAATAGCTCTTCCCCTCCCCACAAAAAAATTCCCTTCTTGCCTGGGAACCGGTCTACCTTAATGGGACTAACAAAGCTACAAGATCAGAAAGTATGGTTTAGGGGACATGCAGCCTCCAGCTGTAAGAGTCTAAACTTCCCCAAATTGCTCTTGAGAATAACATCACTAGCGTAAAACCTAAGATTAGTGCCTGAGATATTTTGCAGACCCTATAGTCCATGCACCAGCTGACACCACCCAGACTGGTAATCTGGCTCAACCAGTTCTGCAATCCCACCCAGAAACAGAAGACAGCAAGAAAAACTCACTTGACCCCCTATGATTCCATCTCCAACCCGACCCATCAGCACTCACCACTTCCCAAACTCCTATCTGCCAAATTATCCTTAAAACCTTATATCCCAAAATGCTCGGGGAGGCTGATTTGAGACTATTAAAACACTGGTTTCCCACATAGCTGGCCCTGCATGAATTCCATTTTTTCCAATGCAATTCTCCTCTCTCGATAAACCCACTCTGTCTAGGAAGTATACAAAGTGAACCTCTTGGGCAGTTACAGTTCTTTCTCTTTCTAGAGTTAAGATGTGCAGTACCTCCACTCCCAGATGGCTACCTTCATCATGATCTCATTTTTCATACCTGCCCTAAAGATCTGAACTAAACACATTATCAGTGTTTCTAGAAAGGCTCTAGAAAACACTTGTCTAGTTTCACTGTCCATTTACCATTCACCTAAACTCTTGGAGAAAGAGTTCTTCAGTTCTCATTTTTCAGCCATCATATCACTCAAATGCTAAAGCTTAGGATTCAATAAAAAGGCGATTACATAAGAATAAGCTGTTCTATGTTACAGATTCTAGAAAAAGTTCATTTTACATACCCATTATACATTTTATAGATGTCTGGGAAAATTCCATTAATTTCCACATCTGATCCTGGCCAGAAAAATGTGCCAGACTTGAGGCCTTGATACTTAGCAGTGAGCCAAATCTGGAGCAGATGATGAAGGAAAATTAAGAAATCCTGCAAACATTCCTCTCTTAGGAAAGTATATGTTCATGCAATACCAACGCATTCCTTGTCTAAAAGTGCAAGGTCAACGAGCTTCAGCAGTTAGATCACAAGAACCATGTCATATGACTCTTATGCAGCAACAAGATATTAAATAGTCAGAGATTAACTCCTGTAACTTCTGGAGCTAGAATCCTAATTAACAGATTTCTCTTGAAAGAAAAAAATCATGAATATACATGTCTTTAATTTGCTGAGATCTCTGTGTATGTAACTAACTTTTTTTTTTTGAGATGGAGTTTTGCTCTTGTTGTCCAGGCTGGAGTGCAATGGCACCATCTCAGCTCAGTGCAACCACCCTCTCCAAATTTCAAGCGATTCTCCTGCCTCAGCCTCCTGAATATCTGGGATTAGAGGCATGCACCACCACACCCAGCTAATTTTGTATTTTTAATAGAGATGGCGTTTCTCCCTGTTGGTCAGGCTGGTGTCAAACTCCCAACCTCAGGTGATCCACCCTTCTCATCATCCCAAAGTGCTGGGATTACAGGCATCCGCCACCACACCCAGCTGTGACTAACATTTATTAAGCACTTATTATTTCCAATCATGGCTCTAAATAGTATTCCTACAAGTATGCTACATTATTAATTCACATAATCCTCATAATAATCCTACAAGGTAGTAAACAGTATTATCTACAGTATGGATATGATAAAACGGAGGCACAGACAGAATGATTTGTCCAAAGACACACAGCCTTAAATGTCAGAGCTAAAATTTGAATTAATAACCTTCAAACTAACTATCATGCTCTTTGTCCTTCTAAGAGGAATATTATGATTATTTAAATAGAACCTATATAATTATTGTGACAATTTTAAAAAGTAAAAAAAGGAGAACACAGTTAAATCACAATGAGAAAAAAACCTCCTAAATTAGCATATGTAAATAAAACCAAGGCTTTCAAAAACAGTGTAGTTTGTGTAGATTCTGGTAGAAGAATTGATCAGAAAAGAAAAATGGCCCAGTACAATCCAAATTCACCTCTGAAATAAACTACTCTCCTTTTACACAATTATATAAGTTATGTTTAAGATTATCAGCATTCATCTCCATTTACAAAAGAATGGCCACAGATACATCAAATGAAATAGGTTATTAAAAGCTCCAGAGAATCTGGTTATTTAACTCTGATTGGAAAAGATGAGAATAATAAACTATTTTAGTAGATAAAACAAAGAACTCACCGGTTCTCCTTTGTACCACTCAGGATTAAATTTCTCTTTACTTTTAAGTGAAAAGGAAGCATTCATTTTGGGATCATACATTTTATTGTCAATTATGCCATGAGATTCTGGATACAATCCCTAAAAAATATCAAACAGACTTTATGCAAGTTGTGAGTTTATTTAACGTTAAATAAAGTCACAGAAAAAAATCATCCAAGAGAAACTGATAACTGAAGCCACATGGAATTATAGTAAGTTTAAGGAAAGAAAAACACAACAATCAGGTAATGTCAAAACACAATCAACCACTTAAGATTTTATGTTGTATTTGTGATTTAAACTATGTAATAGGAGAAAATAAGTCCGTAAAGATCTATATAAAAAAGGCAGCCTCGGCTGGGCGCAGCGGCTCATGCCTATAATCCCAGCATTTTGGGAGGCTGAGGTCAAGAGATCAAGACTATCCTGGCCAACAAGGTGAAACCCTGTCTCTACTAAAAATACAAAAATTAGCTGGGTGTGGTGGTGCACACCTATAGTCCCAGCTACCTGGGAGGCTGAGAAATGCTTGAACCCAGGAGGCAGAGGTTACAGTGGGCCAAGATCGTGTCACTGCACTCTAGCCTGGTAACAGAGCGGTATTCTGCCTCAAAAACAAAACAAAAAAACCTGCAGCCTCCCAAATTTTGAAACAATACTGCTGTTTTTTTAAATTGCTGAGTAAAGCATTTCTGCAGAACAAATTCCTTTTTTGGCATGGTCTCAGAGTAGCTTGTATCAATATAAGCTAACATACTAATTTTCTGGCTTCAATTCTAAAGCTTAATGAGTTCTACTGTTTTACTTGACTCAAATTAAATATGGAAACTTTGAAACAAAAACAGTACTGTAATCCTATTTGGAGTCAGGCAAAGTGGCTTGCTTAAATTCATCATCAAGATGATTGGAAAGACAAGTTGTGGACACAGGAGTTTAGGGCAGTTTTTTGGCTCAAATAAAATAAGCCACAAAACTAAGATACAAGAATCAGAAAATCTTGACTCTTAAAGGAAACCAGGAAATCATTTCTTGAGGACTTGAGTCATCTCTTTTCAGAGATGAGAAAATGGTGACCCAGCAGGTAAAGTGACCTTTCCAAAGCCACTTTCAGCTAGTTCATGGCAGAGCAAAGATCAGAACCTCGGTTTCTTTGCTTAACCACATATGAGAAGATAAGTCGTTTTTCTTTGATCTTAAATCGATCCCCTCAAAAAATGTTACAATTCCATCTCACTTCTGCAAAGAGATCAAAGTTGAAATGCAGAGCTTACGGTGACAATGCTGTAGTGATTGGGAAACGTTTTTGTTGGATATACCGGTCTCATGTTTTTAGTATACGTTCCACACTTTTCTAGAAGGGAAAAAATAAACATTGTTATTAGACACATACAACAATTGGCTTACCTCATTTAGTGGTAGTACCACAGCAGTCTAAACCATGTAAAATAAAAAATTAGCCCAGGTGGGATTATAATCAGATGAAAATTCAGGAGGAATTATAAAGCAACACTGTGGATACAATTCAATGTTAAAGATGACCTCATTTCTCAGAAAAACATTAAAATAATGAAGTCAATTAAATAATGATCCCATACTTCCCCCATAACATTACTTCATTCAAGATGAACAAGTTATAATAAAATGATGCATGTGAGTTGTAATAAAATGATGCAAGTTCTTTGATACTACTTAGTGGTCAAACACCTAAATTATAAGAGCTAGAAAAAGAAAACTGAACTAGTAGCTAAGTCTATAAATTAAAACAAGGGTGAAGGAATAGCTGGGAAGACAGTGTCCCAGGTCATAGACCTAGAACCGGCTAACCTTGGACAAACTCAGCTGCTTTAAAGACAAAAGGCATCTTGTGGCTTCAGATCCAAGAAAGCCCAGAAGTCCGATTATTCCTGGTCCCCTGCTGATCTAGTTCTGGTACCTTATTCTTTTTCTTTTTCTCCTGCCTCTACTATTGAGGAGGAAACACATAACTAATGATTCCAGCGGTCAAAACTCCATTACCTAAAAATGTCCCGCAGATTGGCATATGTCTATATATCTCACTGCCTTCTAGCAGTTTAGAATTACAGGATACATGCCCTAATTCTTCAGAACTAGGGCTTGGGCTCATTGTTTATTGATTTATTTTAAACTTCATATACAGGTACCCCCAGCTGCTTAACTCTAAAGTCAGGATGCCACATTTGGCACCACGGAGACAAGCTCTCCTGATAATGGGAGAAAAGGGCTGTATTTACACTTCAAAGGCCATGGGCCTGCTGGGAAGAACACATTTTGGCCATGTAAAGTTAAAGCCTTTTTATGCAAAATATTTAAAAAAAGAAAAAAAAAACCTATCTTCTTCCATGTAGAAATTAAAAACTAAAACATTTTAAAACTCTCCCAAAATTATTTTGTCACTTCGTAAGACAAGCATAATGACATACACATAAATTTACAGAGTGATTTTAATGTTTAAAGCACTTCACATAATCAAATCTGTTAAATAATATTTTAGAATTCCAGAAAAAACTAAAGTAACTATATTCACTTACTTCCATTTTAGTCCAGTATTACACTGTAGTTGCTTAAAGGTTGTTAATGTGATTTAAAACTCTGGCATCAATATTAAAAAAAGACCATTCTATTTCATGGGAAATTGATAGAAAAACCATTTAATTAAGGCTTGATTGGGATTTCAAAAAACTGGAAGAGTCCAATTCAATCCAAAGGAGAATACGGGATAACTGACAAATATTCTATGTCTGAACTGGTAACATCTCGGAAATAACCTTTAGTTTTTAAAATTCTATTTTTTAAATAAAATATTTGTAAAACAAGGCCAGGCATGGTGGCTCACACCTGTAATCCCAGCACTTTAGGAGGCCAAGTGGGGCAGATTGCTTGAGCCCAGGAGTTTGAGACCAGCCTAAGCAACATGGCAAAACCCTGTCTCTACTAAAAACACCAAAATTAGCCGGGTATAGTGTCACATGCCTTTAATCCAGTTACTTGGGAGGCTGAGGCAGAAGACTAGCTTGATCCTGAGAGGTAGAGGTTGCAGTGAGCCAAGATTGCACATAAATAATAATAATAATAACATTTGTAAAATAAATAAATAAATAAGGGACTCTTTCACAAGGAATTCAAAATTCTGAGAAAGAATAAAATACATATAAAAGTGGCCAAAGGTTAAAATTCTAAGAAACCGTATTAACTTAGAAGTATTTGAAGGGCAGCTTCAGAGTAATCACGCTATTAAAGGTTAAGTGCCTCATCACCAGTGAAACAGTTAGGTTCTGCCAGTACTTTTCCAAGAAAGACTGCCTACCTAGTCTACCTCACTGAAATTGTGATATTCCAGCAGTAAACTCCAAAGTTACTCACTTAGTTTGCTAATAACAGGAAGAAGTCCACCCCAAGTGTGTAAATATTCTGCCCTGAATCCATCCAAAGAAAATAAGAGAGTAGGAGGCATTTCAAACCTGGGCAATAAAAAAGAAAAAAAAATGTTTAAAAAGCAAAGAGAAGACATATCCAATGAAGATGTATTCCCTTCTGGGCAGAGGTCCAGTGAAGATTTTCCATTAAGGTCTATGTGATCTAAAGAAACCTAAAGCTTGGCAAGAATACTTATAAAGGATATTTCACATGCATTTATATTTGTATACAAGCTCTGTAATTTCATAATACATATATATCATCAAATAGTATATTTTAAGCATTCATATCATTTTGAGGCACCATACAAAGAACATCATTCATGGTTCCTCCTGGTCCCAAAAATTGCTACTAAACCAATTGCTACTAAAATATAATATTATTTTCGCGATTTGCAGGAAAATGAACAAATTAAAAAATCAGCATTGTCTACATTATATTTTAGACATATACATTATGGAAATATTTATTTCCATAAATATTTTTTCCTGAACCATCACTTTCTGATATGGTCTCTAATATAGTAAATACTTCATATAGTATATATTATACACTATTTTATTATTTAATTTCTTTTAGCAGTTCATTTTTTTTTTTTTTTTGAGGTGGAGTTTCGCTCTTGTTACCCAGGCTGGAGTGCAATGGCGCGATCTTGGCTCACTGCAACTTCTGCCTCCTGGGTTCAAGCAATTCTCCTGCCTCAGCCTCCTGAGTAGCTGGGAATACAGGCACGTGCCACCATGCCCAGCTAATTTTTTGTATTTTTAGTAGAGACAGGGTTTCACCACGTTGACCAGGATGGTCTCGATTTCTTGACCTCGTGATCCACCTGCCTCGGCCTCCCAAAGTGCTGGGATTACAGGCTTGAGCCACTGCGCCCAGCCTTTAGCAGTTTATTTTTATTTTACTTTTGAGACAGAGTCTCATTCTGTTGCTCATGCTGCAATGCAGTGGCACCATCACAGCTCACTGCAGCCTCAACCTCCTGTGCTCAAGCAATCCTCCTGCATCAGCCTCCTAAGTAGCTGGGACTACAAATATGCATCACCACGCCTGGCTAATTTTTAAATTTTTTTTGTAGAGAGGAAGTCTCACTATGTTGCCCATGCTGGTCTCGAACTCTTAGGCTCATGCAGTCTTCCCACCTCAGCCTCCCAAAGTGTTAGGATGACAGGTGTGAGCCACCGCACCCAGCCTATATACTGTATTTTTAGGCTTAATATATTTAAAAGATATAAATAATTAATACAAAAGTTTGAGTGATACTATATTTAAATATATAAACAACAACGAAATGATTCCAAGCTGGGGATGATCAAACAATGAGGATTCAACAATGCATACATACATCTACAAAGAGTTAACGTGCAATGCGGAAATCCAAAGAGGAGGCCAAAAACCACATAGGATGCTAATATACTTGGCAAATGAGAATAGCTATGGACAGCGGCTACGTGGCTACCCCAACACAGCCATGGCTCAGAAATTTTGCAGCATCTAATGATACGTGGTAGGTGGTAGAGACCTTATATAACACTGGATAACTGTGAAAAAACTTCCCACTGAAAGTTTGCTCAGCAAATTTAAAATGTGACAGCAAATACCTAACATTGCCTTTTTAACTCTGCCTCCTCCCACCTTACCCGCATTCAAAAACACAAAAGCAACCCCACAAGGAGGAAATTTTTATACAGTTTTCACTAGCTACTATTTGTAATATAGCTCTACCGAGAGACTCTCTAGAATCAGTGTACATAGTCTTAATGGTCCATATAAAACTAGTTTTATTCAATCAACAGAAATCATTAAAGCCGTTTAGTGGGCCATCAGGTAAACGTACTGGTAAATTTTCTAGTGTAATAATAATTATTATTTCTAGTATAATAAATAATAATAATAAACTTACGATCATCTTGTAAAGAAAGGGTTATGTTTTCCACTAAAAGATTCAGCATTACAAATGAAAAATAATGAGCAATATTTAGAAGAAAAAGAGTCAAAATTCACTAAGTCTCAAATGCCCTCCTTGGTCTTAAAACACAGTTTAGGGTATATGAAAATTTTTCCTTAAAAAAAGGCTCTTCTGAAGAAATTATTTGGTTAAGGTTTAGTTTTTGCTGCTGTTGCTACTATTTATTTAATTCAAAAAGTACTCTTCCTTCCAAAAGAATAAAAAGAAGAGATATAACAAAAATTATATACATGAACAAAACGAACTAAAATACAGCTTTAAAAATTTTACTAGTCTGGAAAAACTATCGTTTTAAGGAGGCAAAAATTTATTTCTGAAGATGAATAATTCAAATTTATGAGATGGTAGACCTCAAATGGAACAAGGATAAATACACCTAACACCTTTACAAAATCTTCACCCTTTAATTCCACACACACTCTTTTTGATGGTGTCATATATGAAAGACCCTGTACAAAATATTTGAAGGACAAAAAAATGAATTATTTAAAAAAATGTATCATCTCTCACAAACAGGTTGTCTATCCCGAAAATGTATAAATGGACCAAAATACAAAAAAAGAAAAGAAAAGCTAAATTTTCTACAAGTTTAGCAGCTCTTAAAACTCCAAATGAAAGTCAAGATCCTTCCTTCCTACAAAGAAAAATGCAAATATTTCTATCTAGCATTCATCAGTACTAAGGACTAACTATTCATGGTCTCTCTTTTCTATAAACTCCAGAATAGGGATAACTCCAAACATCTCTGTACCATCATTGCCAAATACAAGATCAGGCTAAAAATACAGGTTGGGCATCCCAAATCCGAAAATCTGTGAAACTTCAAATGCTTCCAAATTCAAAACTTTTGAACACTGACACGATGTTTAAAGGAAATGCTCACTGGAGCATTTGGGATTTTCAGATTTGAGATGCTCAAACTGGCATAAAGCAAATACCCCAAAATCCAAAAACATCCAAAATCCAGAACAGTTCTCCTACCACATATTTTAGATAAAGGATACTCAACCTGTAATGTGTCATAAACCAGTGATTTTATTATTTTTATCATCTTAATTTGGAAAGAGAAAAAAATGATACTGTACTCCTAAAAAGAAGCAATTAATACCTCAGAATATAATCTTACCCTTCTGGGCACTGTGGCTCATTAATGTTCTCACATGGTTCTTCTACCCAACTTTTCTCACCTAGAATATTTTCAAGAAAATAAATTGAATTGAACATATTTCACATAATAACAATTATGATGCTTATGAGATACATTAAGACAGATTCCAAAAACAAAGTATGTGAACAGATCCATAGATAACATGGGACATGACTCTAGACGTGTATAATCAATGAAGAAAATTATTCTGTTTCAAAAAAAGAGTTAGTTGATATCAGGAATTAAAAATGGCTGCATAATTATAAGACTAAAACACACTACTGTATTTGTGAGAACTTAAAGGTATTGTTCTCAATTTCAAATTCTTTTATTTTCAGCCAAAATTTACAACCCTCTTCTTCTATCCACTCATCAAAATCCTTGGTATTTTAATGTCTTAGTTCTGTCTCATATAGAGTCAGGTTCTGTCAAGAAATTTGAAAAAAAATCATAATAATAATACCTGGACAAGCATCATAATAGCATCACCTTACAAAATGCCCTTGAATCTTTCTAAATAATTTCACATCAACTCTCTAAGTGCACAGCAGACAGTGTCCCCATTTACTAGGAGGGAAGTTGGGACATAAAAGTCAGCCAGGACTGTAAGAGTGATCTTTCCACAAATACAGCCTTAAGTATGCTGTTATTATCAAAATAACATAAGGCAGGAGAATGAATGGCTATAGATAAAACAAGATTGGCCATGTGTCCATAATAATAATTATTAAGCTGGGTGATGGGTACAATGTACATTACATACTCTCTCTCCCCATGTATATATTTAAAAGTTTCTTTAATAAAAAGTTTTAAAAGTATTTTTTTCAGCTAATATAGTTGGCTAATAACCATGACTCCTAACATAAAAGATAACACCTATGTAAAACCCAGCTAAGATGCTGGAAGATGCCAGGCTGCTGCAGAACCCAACGAGCACCTGACCTTGACACATAGAACTGTAGTTGATGCAGCAGTCCCCCTGGTCCTTGCAGTCATCTGAACAGGCACAGAGGCTTCTGGTCAACCTTTTCTCACCACACCTGAATTTGTTGCAAGTCCATATATGTTCTAGAAAAAACAACAGCAAAATGTGTTTCATGTCTAAAATTCAACATATCCAAAGTGAACACAGAATTGCTGTCCTCCTGAGTATGATCCATGAGCAACAATGAACCATTTCACAGCTCTTAATCACTCACAGAATCTGCCACTACCAGGGCCACTCTGAACTAATGGGGTAAAACATGTAGGAAACAATTACTATTATTTCATTAAAACTCCAGAATTTTGTCATTTTCAAATTTAGACACAGCTTATCATTATACAATTCATATGTAGACTTGGCTTCTTCCACCTACTAAAATTTAATCTAGGTCTAACTCTCAGGCCAAGGTAAGAGGATTGCTTGAGGCCAGGAGTTTGAGATCAACCTTGGCAAGGTAGTGAGACCTCATCTCTACAAAAATTTTTTTAATTAGCTGGGCACAATGGTGCAAGCCTGTAGTTTCAGCTACGTGGGAGGCTGAGGCAGGAGGATCTCTTGAGCCCAGGAGTTCAAGGATGCAATGAACCATGATTGAGCAACTGCTCTCCAGCCTAGGAGACAGAACAAGTCTGTCTTTAAAAAATAAAAAACGAATGAAAAATAAATAAATCTCTATCTCATTTAAATATTATTCCATGCCATATACAGAGAAGTTCAAATCTAACAGAAAATTCTCAAATTCTGATAGTTGTATTTTTAAAAGTATAGATGGTCATTTAAGATCTCTTGCTGTCAGAGAAGCATAATGAAAATATTTCTATATTCAAGCAGGCTTTTAGAATTTAAGTGCAAATCAGACTACAAAGGCTTACAGCATAAATTAAAAGCAGGCAAAGTTTTGCTATCTATAAAATGTTTAACAAAGAAATTCTATAAATTTTTCTCTCAAGGAACTGTTGAAAGAAAATATAAAAGCTAATGTCAAAATATGTACGTATACTAAACTAAAAAAAAAAAAATCACATACCTGCAAGACACAGAACTTTTCTTGATCTTTTTCTAATGACCATAACTCCATGTTTTCCCTGCACATCCATACCTGGTTCTATACACGTCTCCTGGTAATCTAAACAGCAGTTTCCAAGCTCAACACAGGCAGCATCACAGCGACAGTTCCCAAATGTTCTTTCAAAACAGCGACCTTTGCAACTTTTAACTGAAAATATTGAACAGTAAGTTAGATGTTTCTTTCTTTCTTTTTTTTTTTTTTTTAGTTGAACAATCTATTGTCATCATTCAGTATCCATTTGATGTATTCAGGGGCTAGAGTGACAAATTAAATAGAGATATGAGACCTCCATGAGGGGGCTATCAAGCTGACTGAGACAAAATCACAAGAGGTGGGAAAAGAACCAGGAAAGAGAGAAGCCATGAAAAGCAAGGGATTAAAGCACTAACACTAGCAGAGAAACAGCGTAAGGTCTGAAGATGTCCATTGAATTTGGTGAACAGTGTATCACTCATGGCCTTAGAAATGGCAATTCTAGTCAAGTCATTCACTCATTCATTTTAACAAATATGTATTGCATGTGTCACAGGGGAGGAAAGAAAAGGAGAGGAGAAGGAAGAGAAGAGCTCCAGGCAGTTGGGATAGGATGTCCAAAGCTCAGCAGTTGATGAACAGAAGAGCCTGTTTTTCTCTTCCAGTTACATTAATTGGTGGGGAAGGAAAAAGTCTGTGAAAGTTATGTATGATTTCCTCAAATTCTTAATGAAATAGGAGCAGAACCATCTTCATGACAGGAGGTAGTCTCATGGTATCTGGGCAGCCAGGTATGGGTTGGTTGTATTCAAACAAAATGACCACACAGACTCTTCCTCAGCCTAATGGGGATGGCTATTGTATCAGATAAGGTTCATTCAGGAAAACAGAAACCAAGAAAACCAAGCTAGGTGTTACAAATAGAGGGCAATTAATACAGAGAACTTGTTGCAAAGATGATGATGGAAGCTTAAGAAAGCAAAAAGGCAAGCAGGGACAGCCCAAATATTGCTAACTACAGGAAACAGCTATTAGTCAAACGTTAGGGAAACAAAGGAGAAAAGGTCTAAACCCTAGATGTTTCTAATCATTATATAATTCAAAACAAACATCAACTAATACAACTAAATTAGGTGTACATTAGGTTCAAATACCGCTTTAGAAAATACAGATGGGGTAGCAAAGGGACCCAAAAATCTTTTCACAAATACACACAAAAAGCGATACAAACAGAAAGCAACCTTTATTATTATTATTATTACACACCTTACTGGGTCTGATAAGACTTAAATATCTATGGTTAAAAAAAAAAGAAAATATCTATGGTATGATAAAGTCAGAATAAAGGCTTGTTCTGAATATTTTATGCTATGAAAAAGTTAGCTTAAGCAGGCATGGGGTTCCCTAAAATTTCAAAATGTGAGAAAAGAATTTTTTTAGAAGTGATTATGAATATTTTAGAAAGGGACAGATGACTATCCTGCCTCACTCTCAATCTTGGTGTGAAGAAGCAGAGGGTTTGCCAGAACATTTTCCTTGGCACTGCTCTACCCTCCCTGACCTCAAACACCCATTTCACCTTTAGATTCAGCCTGGCTCCCTCTAAAAAGCTTTCCTAGCTCCCCAGCTAGGCCTGATTTCCATTTTTCAAAGCTCATATAAAACCTGCTCCTTCCCCCTCAATCACTTAATTCCACTTGTAACTAGCTTACTTGGTTACCATCCCAGTTAGACAGCAAACAAAGACCACATCTGGCTTTTGCCCCACATATTGTAGCCCTAATGCCCAGCCAGGTGCACGTCATACAGCTAAATGAATAAATGGCAGATATGGGAGAAAAATACTTTTCATGACGAACAACAATTTTACTGTTGAAGTTCATTACTAGATACCTTAATAAACCAGGTTTCGGTGAAGTCCTAGAAAACTAGAACAGTGAGAAAAAGAAGAAAAAATGGAACACATGGAAAATAATGAACCTCTAACAATAATAAAAAAGAAATAATCTTAGTTCTTGACTTTAATGGTATCCTGCCCCAAAGACACTGGCATGGAATTTAACTCTCACTTGATACTGGGAAATCAGGCAATTTTAAGAAGATGAAGCAACAGTAATAATTTCTAGTGTCAGAAACATGAACCTTCCTGCCTGGAGTGCGGGTGGAGGAAGGCTATTAGAATAATAGCTATTATTTGCAGCTCATTAATATGTACCTAATAATTTTTAAAAACATAATGCATGCTTTGTTGGGCGTGGTTTAAAATTGCTATTTTTCAGTCCTTCATTTGTTTGTGTCAACTTGGAATTGAATCACTTCATGCTAAAAGATGACATATATCAACACTAAAGTCTGTGACTTTCTACTTTGGTCAAACTTAGATACGTGTGTTCTGAATAGTTTACTGATTGAATACATTAAAATTACTACCTTTCAACAGTACATGATAGCTTAATAACCACTAAAGTTTTTAAAATAATTAATATTACAATCACAGAATAGCCAAACAGAAGAATCTGTTCAATTTTCAAAACTGAATTCTCTAGGATGACCATCAATGATTTTATTGTGAGGGGATGAGGGGAACTACCTCAAAGACAAAATAATAACCGCCACAATTTACTGTGATCCAGTTGAATTATTTACTGTAATTTTGTCAGTGCTGGATAGATTTCTGCAACTGATGGAAAGAAAAAACTATATAACTAGATGTTTAAAAAATATCACTATGGCTTTCAAATAACCAATATCTGCAATTTTCAAAACCCTGAAAGCACATACTGATAACTTTCTTGTTGCCCAGGGGTAATAACTGGTCACCTAGTAACCTACAGGGCTGCTTCAGCAACTAACTCGTTAGGGGAAAAGAAGGGTAAAGAATGTCCTCCAAGTCCCTGAAGGAAGTCAGGGAGCGAGGGCTCCAGGGCCACAGCATCCAAACACCCGGCCATGTCTGCTAATGCATTCTTAATTTTTTTGTTATCTCGAGATGTTTGTTGGTGGATCATAGCCCCTCCTCCTTGTTTTGTGATAATGGTTCATAAGTTTTGTAGGTAGAATTTTATATGGCTAATACAAAAGCTTCAAGAAGAAGGCTCAAACCAGCACTGAATTTACAGTATCTATGGAGTACCCATAGGAATAGGAGATAATGTTTACCTCAATCACATTCTTATTAAGGCTGTGCGCACACACACACACACACACACACACACACACACACGATTAGTTACCTTCTTTGGCACAGCTTGGTTTCAGCCCAAATATACAACCAAGTATTGTTGTTAACACACATACTGACAATACCTGTAGGGAGAAAAGAGAAAATTATATGGTTTATTTCTTATTAATATTTTATTTATTTTATATTTTTAGAGATAGAGTCTTACTCTGTTGCCCAGGCTAGGGTACAGTGGCACGATCATAGTTCACTGTAACCTTGAACCCCTAGCATCCAGTGATCTTCCTGACTCAGCCTCCCAAAGTGCTGGGATTATAGGCAAGAGCCACCATGCCTGGCCTTATATAGTTTCAAAAGCCATCTATTTCTCTAAATGTTTCTAAACTTGTTGTTGCGGTTCTTTTTTCCAGTCTGGGTGTTAGTCATGTAGATGTGTTCATTTTTTGAAAATTCAAATTGTACACTTGTGATTTGTATATATTCTTGAAACTATTTTATACTGCAATAAGAAGTTTTCTCAAATGTCAACCAACCATTCTAAATCATCCAATGTTAATGTAATTAGAAACTCTCCCAGTTAGTATAAATTAGTCAGAAAAATTATAATTAAGGGAAAGAGAGAGAGAAAATCCTATTTACAGTCTGAATTTCCTATTTATTAATCCATTAAAGGCAATATATGAGACTATTATTATATGCCTCTTTTACCAGTTCTACACAAATCCCAACATAACATCCTCACATGTACTGTGGCACCTGTGGGAACAAGACCTGAAGAGGATCAGCTGACAACCTCCCAGACCAAGTGTTCAACAAATAAGCTTTCCAGACACCAGCTTATTCATCTATAAAATTTAAGGGTTGGATTACATGATCTCTAAACATCTTTCCAGTGCTAACACTTTGCCACTTTCTCATTCTCCCTCTTCTGGCTTTTGACATTTTAAAATAAGTGGACACACACTACAACCCCTAAGAACCATGCCAGAACTTCTATGAGTTAGAAGACAAAGAAGTGGAATAACCCACAAAACATTCCTCAGTTTTTTTTAGTGAGAAAAATTTCCTTGAAAGCTCCCTGGAATTTCTGATTACAAGGCACTTCAATAAAATATTAATTGAGTACCAATGATGTGCAAAGACTGTTATACACTGAAGGAAAAAATAAGAGCTAACTCAAGGAGTTTCTATTTGGGTCAGAGAAGTTAAAAACAGCAGCATCAGTGGCCCATATTTGGTAGACCCTACAAACCAGCTGCAAAGTTCTACAGTTGCTTAAAGAAGGAGAAAGGTTAGGGTGGTTGGGGAGAGGGAGATCACAAAGCATTTCCTGGAGCAAGCCCTTAGCATAGCTCTGAATGGGGGGAAATAATGTTACCAGGCAGAATTGGAGGAAGGGAAGAGAGGAACAAAACACAGCAAGCTTCTAGGAGAAAGCGCAGCATAAAGAAGGGTTCCAAGAAGGCAGGCATGTGGAAGGTGGCAGATGAATAATGAGCAGCCTATCCTAGCTGGAACCAAGAAAATGTAAAGGGGAATGGACAAAGGGTGAAAGTATGGAAAGCTGTCGTAGCATTTCTGGAAAGAAAGGTAAGTTGAAGAGATCATAGAGATGGGAGGAATGGGTGAATAGGACCAAGTGGATGGTGGGTGAAGGCTCTTGAGACAGGAGGAATGGGTGAATAGGACCAAGTGGATGATGGGTGGAGGCTTTTATGAATTCATTCCATCAAATGAAGAATATCAAGCACTGACAACATACTGGAAACACACCGTCTGCTCTCAAGGTGCCTACTGTCAAGTGACCGCAGAGACTTAAGAGGAAGTGAATGGTAAGAAAAATGAGGCAGCAGGTCTAACTTACTTCAAAATAAAATGGATAAAGGAAAGGAAAGCAAGCATTTTTGCAAAGAGAGCAAAAGGTTAGCCTTTTCTTAAGGATACAGAAACATGTGTTTTTGTTCATTAAACAAGAAACATGGAGGTATCAGAGGAAGAGCTTGAGCAAGTAAGTTAACATGGGCAAATAAGCAGAACAAGGTATCAGAGGAGAGTTGTCATATTCCATACTCCTTTCTAAGTTTAGATCAGTTTCCAATGTTTTAATGTAACCTTTGCACTTTCAACATTATGAAATGTCTCCAAGAGGAAGTTTTGTGCCAGTGTCACTTCCTCTGGGATATCTTCACTCTTTTTCTCACAACTACTCTCCTCATGTCAAAAAATTCAGCTTCACTAGATTTCCTCTGGCTTCATATCTGGAGTCTGTTGCACCATGGCAGTATTAGCATTCCTATGGTTAGCTGTTTCTTTCACAAATCCATTTACGTTTAACTTCAATTTCACTTTCAGCATTCTTATTTTTTCTTTTCTTTACTATACTTTCATTCTTTGTCATTCCATTCACTTTTTCAGTGATCTACTTTTAGAAAAATGACATGTAAGTTCACCTCTGAGACAAAGCAACAACACAACTACATGCTTTGCTGTCTGGGCATGAAATGACTAAAAGGTACCTAAGGGCTATTCACTGATAAGACTTTAAAAGAAATGATGCAACTGGTAACTGACCAAAATTTGCACTTGCTATTTGCACAGTGATTTGTGGATTGATGTGCTAGCAGCAAAGTTTGTACTTCACGCAATTACTCACAGTTAATATACCTTGGTAAGTGAAATTTGAACTATGTTGTTGGGAACTGGTTTTATTTAATAATACTATGGTAACTAAAATTGTACATGTCAGAGAATTATGAAAAGATAGTACTGCCTGTACTCTCACAAGGGGGCAAAATAGTTGTCCAAGGGTGTTCATTTCAAAACTGTTTTCATACAAAAAACAAACCAACCAACCTAGAAATGACCTAAGCTCATTTTAAGGAAACTGGTTGAACAAGTCATGTTTTACCTATACAATAAAATACTCTCAGAGGGTTAGCCTCAGAGACAGGCATGTCAGAAGGCTGAGAGGAAGATACACACACACACACAAACCACATACACACAAAAAACAAAGGTATAACAATAGGAAGCTAGAAACAACCGATGATCAACCTCTTTGATCATCTTGGCCAAGTAAGAAACATCTGGGTGAGAGTGTGGAAGGAACAGAGAGAGCTTAGGGCAACCCATGTGAAAGATGGCAGTAAACCAGTGGGAACAATGAAGACTAAGTCAACGAGGGAAGAATAAAGAAACTCTCAAGCTCTGGGAACCCAACTTAATCTGAAATCATGGAAAGTAACAAAGCTGAATGGCCTGAAATTCTAGGAGTGGAAGAGGGAAAATGGGGTGAAAAAAGATGACTTGCCCTGTGAAAGGAAAAGACGGGGAAAACAGAAAACAAAAGGGGTAAAAGAATTAAGGCATAAGTGGAATGGATGAAAGGGGCAGGACCAATTGAATATGGGTATTTGAATAGGAGAACTAAACGAACAGGAACGCTACTATGGAAAAACTAGGTGGTAAGTAAGCATTTAAACGGTAACCATTGGTTTAAAATACACATGGTTTATATACAGCTCTTTATCCTCTTGGTTAGTAGTCAAAGACACATGATTAAAAATCACCTCTTTATTGTTAAAAAGTTCTTAGATTTACCTTTTATAAGATGAGGCATAGCACAGAACTGAAATAAAAGTATGACAATAGAAATGATCGTTTCTCATTTATAGTCACATCCATAAAAGACAAAATTTAGAATATCTACTACTCTGTTACAGAATACCTAATCAGAATGATTTTTAGTAGGAAATTTCCCTTCAACAATTTTCAGAGTTGTAAAATCTAATTCAGTTTGAATTTTCTTCTCAAAGCAGTTTAATTCATCAATGTCATAATCTACCATCCATTTCAATCTCCATAACAATCTAGGTATTTTTCAAATTTTAATATCTTCCAAGCAACCATAGAAAATATCTTATTTTAGAAAACCAGAAACTGGGAGACAGAAAATAAAAGCAAAGTTTTTGAAATATTTGGAGTTGACTGCTTGTTAACTAGATCATTGGTTCTTAGACATTTAGTGAGTCAAAAGAAAGTTAAAAAAAAAATTTGTTTTCCTCACCAGTTCCCTCAAATACAATGGTGTTAGTATCACGTGTTACTATGTTTTCTGTAGTAGGTGTTCATTGAAATATGAGTGTCTCTTGTGTGCAGTCCCTGTGCTAAAGACCAGAGATAAAAAGAAAATAACTCCTACCCTTACAGAGGAACAAATGAAGTTGGGTGGTGGGAACGTTAAAATAAACGATTGTAATGGACGTTGGTAGAAACATGTAAAAAATGTTAACATACTAACAACACAGTGGAGAGCAGAAAAGAAGAGAAGGGTTTCAAGCGGCTTTACGAAGAGAGATTTGGAAAAAAAGGGACCTCCCCTCTAACAATAGACAAAGGTTTGAGTATCTGCAAGATGTAATGTATTTAGATTCTGTGGCGAAATACAAAAACAAAAAAAAAAATTAATTTGTGCTGAAATCCTAATATCAGAGTTTATAAATCTAATAAAGTCAACGACTCTGAAATGATGCCATAGGTTGATGATAAAAATATGACATGGTTAGAAGCAACCTAAGAATGACACAGTGGTGAACGTATACTCCATGGGGCTTCGTGCAAAGCCACCAAGGTAGGGAAGACAACACCAGCCTGGGAAAAAGAAAATAACAACAATCATGGCTGTCACTTCTCTAGTAATTCCTATGTGCCCGGCACTTTTCTAAGAGTTTTATATTAAATCATTTAATCCACACTGTAACATCACAAGATAGATTATGATTAACACAGTTTAAGGAAGCTGAGCTATAGAGGTTAGTAACTTGCCAAGGACTAGGGGCTTGATAAGCATCTGCGGCAATATTTGAACATAGGCAGGCAGAGTGTAAAGGAGGCATGTAGGAGGGGGAAGGGAAAGGAGAGAGAATAAAAGAGTCCTGAGGTAGCCTGGGGGCAATAGGTGGAGTGTGTTCAGGCATTGAAACATGAAAGTGACAGGACTGGATTTACAAATCCCAGAAGGATCCCTTGGGATCACTGTGGAAAGCTATGTTATGAATTCAATGGGAAATGAGGCCTTGGACTTGCCAGCCCCTCTTCACCCAGGAGATGCCACCACCGTGTTTCT